TGACGTCGCATTCACCCCGTTGCCACCGTGCCACATGGTCCTTTTGCACCTTCTCCTCCAGGTCGGTGTAGTAGGGCAAGGCCATGTAGCCGTATGCGTGCAGCTGGTCACACAGCAGCTTCACCTCGTTCACGGTGTCACAAAAGACCATCATGTGCACACGCTCCCCATTCGCCTGACGCATCACCCGCGTGTCCACAATGGCTTGCACATGCGACAAAAAGTTTGGCTGGTTTCCGTGAAGCACACGCAGCTGCAGATCGCGACGCATCGTCTCCAGACGGTACACCTTGCCCCCGACTTGCTGACCCAGCTTTCGAAACAGATGCTCCTGGTCCCCGATGCAAAGTGTGCCCGTCAACGCCACGCGTTTGATGTTGGTCCATCCGCCAGAGCCCACACTGGCTGCGACTTCGTCCATCACATCTCGGTAGCTGGCATCCGATATGAGCGTGTGCGCCTCGTCCATCACCACGGTGCGGATGTGCTGAAAGCAGACCTTCCCGTGTAGGGATTCAGATCCCACGCGGACAAACATGTCGGTCGTAACGATGAGCACGTCCAGGCCATCTGCCACCTGTGTAGAGGGACCAAGCCATCGCTGGGCACTGTGACCTGCGCCTTGAAATCGCCGCAATAAATCGTTGGCCACGGCCACAAACGGCACAATCCACAGCACCGTACCGGCATGCGGGCGACAGCCCAGCTTGGGCAGGGTACAAAATGTTTTGCCCATGCCTGTCGGTGCAACAACAATCAGCCATCCATCCTCCGGCCGGTGCTGGTCAATGGCCGCGGCCAGGTCCAACTGTTCTTGGCTGTTGAAACTGTGGCCCCACGAGATGCTCGCCTGCTTGGCCAGCTGGGTCATGTAGGGTACGTCATGCTCGGCCCTCGTGTTCATGATGATACGCCCGTTTGCCTCGGGTGAGAGGTCAGTCACCGGGTTCCAGCTGATGGGATAGCGAGCTTCCAATGCTTCTTGGTTCGCGGTCAACTCGGCTATGCTGCGCTTGCGATCTAGTCCAAACAAAGCATGCCATTTTTGCGAGGCCACTTGATGCATCAATCGCGACGACATTTTGGTTTGCACGTGGTCACTGGCTGTGCGTGCATAGGCCCGCTGGGCCGTGTCCCCAGAGTGTTGAGCTTGAGTGTGGATCAGGCTGCCCAGGGCGCCGGTCGTCTCGGCCGACAGTCGGTTAATCACAAACGTCGTCATCCAGAAGGTTGCGGCGTGTCGCCACGTGGCCACCCCCAGCGTTGGCCGATGCAGGTACGTGATCATTTGTCGACGAAATGCCGCATAGATGGTGGCTGGGCTGACCATCGCCTACATGGGGCGCAATATTGAAGAGCAGGTGGCTGTTGTTGTAGTGGTTTCGAGCGTCCTGGACCTCGCGTCGCAGAGTCATCGTCTCGTCGTGGCTCATGTGGTCTTCATCCAGCTCGTCGTCGAGGAAATCTTCGTCGTCCTGCTCGGCATTGTGAATGCCATTCTCGTCGTCGGGGGTTTTCAGGCTGCCCCGCTTTTGCAGCCAGCTGCTCAGCATGTGCTTCAGAGGCTTGCACAGCAGCAAATACATGAATATCAGCGTGCTGATTTCCTGGTCCATGTATCGAAAGATGTGCTGTTCGTTCAGGGGCAGCAGTTTTGGGTTTGCGAGGAAGCGGGTCGTGTTGAGAAGGCGTTTTGAAAGAGGTTTGAGAGATATGGTGGTGTCTCGAGGTCAATTGAACCAGCTGCGGCCGGCAAGCATTCACATTGAGCAGACCAGGTGCATCCTTAGAATGGCTACACAGACGCTCAGGGAAAGTGCAACCCGTGCCAGCCAAAGGTGCCACAACAAACAAACAAACAACAACGAAAAACCGTATACAAGCTTATTACACAAGGCTGTCTGCCAAGACATTGCAAAGTACACGAAGCACACGGGTCGACGCATGTGCCCCCTAGAGGGAAAGCACGCCTCAGTACGTCGAGGTGTGTATGTTAGTCAGGGGATGAAGTCATGTCAGCTCCATAGGGGCTCCTGTGGGAAGACCATGCATGGTCGATAACGCAGATTGTGTGGAAAAGCAACTGAACAAAGGATTTGCCGCTCACAACAAACTAGCACCTGGTCCGGCTCATCCTATTTGGCCGTGTAGTATACAACCAGCTCCGGATAGATTTGGGCATTCTCAAACACAATCACCTCATGGAACTGCCCAGAGGGTGTCGCGACAACCGAGTCATACCTGCAAAAGTAAAATGGCCGGCGCAACATAACAGTCAGATCAGGAGGCGGACAGAGACAACATGCAACAGATGGTCAATTTTGCCCAACGCACCGCTCGTTGTTGGGCGCATCGGGCAGGAGCGGTGGCGCCAGCGCCCCAGAGGGAGGTGATGGATGGGCATGGGCATGGCCCAGGAGTGCTCGCGTGATGACAAGCATTCGTTCGCCGTTGGGTCCGGCACCGGCATACTGATGACTCTGAAATCATGTCAGCACATTGCGTCAGCACCACAGCACTTGGGTAAACAGGTGAGATTGACAGCCCTCAGCCAGTGCTGCCCTACCTTGCCGGGATGGTCGGCCAAGTAAACGCCAAGACCGAATCGGTGACCAGCGCTACTGCCGGCAAAGCGATAGTCAAGGCCCAGGCGCACAATCTTGTCACGCAACATTGTGTCAGGGGCGATGCCGTGGAGCAACAGACGCTCTTGACAGGATGTATCGCAAAGCAGAGCTGGAGAGCCCGAGGGCGCATCTGATGTGGCCGTTTGGAGTTGATCATAGTGCACTTGATTTTTGATACGATGCAACATCTCGCGTCGCTTGGCGCTGTAGCGCTCCCACAGCACGGGGTTGTGCACGCGCTCCACTCGTTGCACTGCGATATTCGCTGGTCCCCGCCCATCGATGTTCAGCTGCTTCAGTAGCTCACCCACCTAGCCATCCAGTAGATTCAAATCAGACGACTTGCGGAAGAACCAAAAAGTTAACAAGCAACGCACCTCTGACATGAGCTCGGGCGCATCGCGCAAGACATCAATGGCTGGCCCGACTTGGGCCAAGGCAGGCTGCTGCGTGATGTTCCGGGCGCTGAAAAGGCTTGGCCGTTGCTTTGGATCTGTTGCAAGCAAAGCCCGCGTTTCCTTGTACAAATCACTCGACGAATCGCACATCTGCATCAGAGAAACCAAAATGAGTTTCCACACGAGAGGCGCGGTTGGTTCTTCGTTGTGGGGTCAATAGGTATCGCACTATCGCTCACCTCAGTCGCCAAGTGCGGAAAGTCGCAGTCAGACTCTCCTGCTCGTATGCTCCAGCTGCATCGATCCACAACCTCATCAACTCGTGGGTGAGCAGGTGGCACCGTCTGTGGAAACATGTACGTGTTGTATAGCACACAGCCAAAGGAAAAGGCATCCTGTGCCGGTCGTGCACCTACACGACCCATTCCAAATAGCACCTCCGGTGCCACATAGCCCGCCGTGCCCGACGATGCAGTGGCCGTGCATGGTAGCATGGTGGCTTCAGCGGAGGCCTTGGCAATGTCGAAATCACCGAGCCGCACAACAGGTTGGTCCTCCTCGCCATCCAGCATGACGTTGCTCAGCTTGATATCCCGGTGCACCAGGCCCTTGCTATGCATAAACGCCAGGGCCGTGCGCAGCTGGGTCATCAGACCCGCAACCACGGTCGAGGTGGCAATGTGGCGAGCCTTGCCGAGCCACTGCTGCAGATCTCCTTGCGTACACCACGGCTGCACCAAGTAGGCGCTTGGGTGGCCACTGTGCACGTCCACAAGCGCGCCAAGGACCGGGATGATGTGTGGGTGCACAAGCTGGCGCATGGCGCGAAGCTCACGCAGGAATGTACGGCACTGATCCTGTTTGTGTTGCCGAGCAAATGCATACTCCTTGACGGCCAAATCTTGCTCAGGAAGATTCGGTAGCGCGGCGCGGGCTTTGTACACCTTGTGATTCTGGTTGTATTGGAGAGACAGCTGGCCCAGGCTGGAGAGCGTCAAACCCTGGTCTACTTCGGTCATGGCCTCCAAGATCAGGCTGGCCGGAAGGTCGGGCCCAAGCACAGTATGGAGCCGTGTTCCCAGCGTGCTTTGTTCAGGGTGCAGAAAGACCAGCAGCGCTGGGAGGTGTTGGTGCAGCAGCTGGGCGAGCTCTGCGACGTGGTCCACGTGTGGCTGATCTGATAATTGGTGTCGCAAGGCATCCAGCCGTTCCTTCTTCTCTCGGAGCTTGTGTTCGAGGCTTGAGTGCACGTCTTCAGGCAGATGTTGTAAAGCCGTGTGAAATCCTTGAATCTCGGCCTGTAGTTTTGTCAGTTCCTCGTGAGCAGCAACCGATTCATCATCAACGTCTTGAGTCAAGCTGTCCACGTGACTCATGCACGAGGTCAATACGGAGAGCGTCGTGGCTTGCCAATCGATTATGTCTTGCAATTGCTGCAACAGAGCTTGCGACTCGTGGTGCACAAACGCCAAGTACCAATCCTGATGCTCGAAGTCTAGAGGGGGTTGCCACTGAGCAATTTGTTCGAGACAATTTTGCTCGAGCAGGCTCAGCTTCTCGTGAGCTTGGCATAGCTTCTCCCAGGCCTCGGGCAATGCCTCGGCTGGTGGTGGTGCACTTGCATCCACGCATTGCGCGCATTGCCGTAGCGTTTCCACGCGAAGGATCGTATCGGTGTCTGTGGTTCCCGCTCTTGCCACGGCACCCAGGGCATCAATCAAGGCCAGCACCAGGCTCTTGAGGTTGCTGTTGGTGCTGGTGAGCAGCTCTTGACGCTTGGGTTCCACGCCGCTCAGGGCGATGACTTTGCTCAGGGCCGCCGCCAGGTCGGTGGGTGGCGTTTTAGGCGCGATCACTGGCGTGGTGGATGGAGCGGGGCATGCTGCCAGCACGGTCTGAAGCTCAAGAAAAGCTGGCTGCAGCTCAAGCCCAGCAGTGACATCGTGCAGCTCTTGCAGCACTGTTTCTAGGTTGTCTGTGTTGGGGTCCAAATGCTCCAAGCGGTTGCTTAACGCTTCGGGCGCTTCCAGGGCCTGGTCAAGTGCGTTGAGGGCCTGGGTAATGGCCGTCTGAAAGGCAGCCCAGTCCATGGCGGGAAAATCTGGTCGAGCTTCATCGATGGTTTTTCGGATTGAAGCAACCATCGTTGCAAGATTGGGGTTTTGTTTGGCGGCACCACTGATAAAGGCATCGAGGTGGGGGAGAGTATGGGTGGTGGTGCGCTCGGGCAGAATCAGCTTGAGCCACTTGTCCACCGCCACGACAACAGAGGCCGTGGTCTAATAGAGGGTTGTGTGGTGTCAATGATCGTGATTAGGTTGGGTAAGGCCGTGGGGATTGGGGTGGTCAATGCATTGGGAAAACAAGATGGGGGAGCAGGCTCACCTCGAGGGTGGGGGTGGTGGGCAGAGGCGGTAGCCAGGCGGAAGGCGGTGCTGGCGTGGGCGGAGCGACGGGCGCAGGCGGAGCAAGGGGTGCGGGTGGTTGTGTCAAGCGAGCCTCGTGAGCAGCAAACACGGGCTCCAGCTTGTCGCCATGCCCGCATTGATATCCCCAAGCAAGGGGCGTCTGAAAGGTCTGAGAACACGGCCAAAGCAAGACGGTTAGAGCGTGTGAGGTGGGGAACCACACGAGAGTTCAGTTGAGCGGTGTGACAAAGCTTCAGAGTGTGTCAGTGCCACCAAACGCAAGGGCATTGTACAAATGGTGTGGGCAGGAACCAAACCAGGGTCCGAAAGGAGGCGCGTTTGGAGAAAAACAAAGAAACGGCGCGTGTGCCGCAAGGAGCCAGAGCCAGAAAGGACGAGCATGGGTGTAGAGGAGAGGAGGGGTGGGGACGAAGGCGACGAGCAGCGGGAGCAGCAGCCAGAGGGGTGAAGGGGGGAAGAGGGAGGTACTGTACTGACCCAGTCCTTGGCTTTAGCATCTGCACCATGCTTCAACAGCATCCCCACCACCTTGACATGGCCGCTACGGCAGGCATAGTGCAGTGGTGAAAAGTCAAACTGTGGGATGATGCATCAGCATGACGTTCAGCACCAGCATCAGCATCATCATCATCGTCATTATGCGGCACAGGTGCACCACCATAAGGGGGTAAAGGTGGACAGAGGGAGGTACTGTACTGACGTCGTTCTTGGCTTCAGTATCAACACCGTACTTCAACAGCATCTCCACCACCTTGACATGACTGCTACGGCAGGCCCAGTGCAGTGGTGTATGGCCGTCCTGTGGGATGATGACGTACAGCATCAGCATCGGCATCATCATCATCATCATCATCATCATCATCATCATGTGGTACAGGTGCACCATCATAGGGGGGTAAAGGGGGAAGAGGGAGGTACTGTACTGACGTCGTTCCTGGCTTCAGCATCAACACCGTGCTTCAACAGCATCTCTACCACCTTGACATGACCCTTACGGCAGGCCCAGTGCAATGGTGGATGGCCATGCTGTAAGATAATGCAAACATGCAGTGTGAGACCATAACCCCATTCAGTGCAACCAATATCACACAATATCGTACCAAGCAGTATACGTACCACAACATCTTCGTATTGGGCAGCATCTCGTATACGTTGTTGGTCCCAGCTGGTCAACAGCTGCAGCGCCTCCTGTGGATCTGATGATTTACACGCACACCACAGCTGCTCTCCATCATCATCATCACTCATGGTAAACGGTAGCTCTCGATTCAAACCGATTTCTTGCTTCTCCATCCACCACTCATGTCATGAGCCCCATCGAAGTACAACTCGTCTGACAGCCCAAAATTCCGAGTGGGATTCGACAGGCGCGCGCAGTCTTCAAAACGGCAACCGGTCAGCGGGTCTTGCTCTCCTCTGTCTGGTGCAGCAAACGACTAACCTTTGCCCAACAGTTCTCTGTGACAGTTGCGAGGGCCTGCGTACTTGGTTGCCCAGCGCACGTTGTCGCCCTGCGAGGCGAGATCAGTGGCCTCACTGAAATCAAAAAATGGCAGTGGTGTTTTCAACCAAAACGTTTAGGCGTCGCCGCAAGGCCCCAACCAGGAAAGTCCCGTACCAAGCACAAGCAATCAGTCACCACGCACACACAACGCAAGACACGTCAAGCAGCCCGCCGATGCCGATACCGATACCGAGTTCGCTGCCAAAAAAGGGCAACACCAACAAGAAGAAGAAGAAGAAGAAGCCAAAGAGAGAGAGGTCTCGGTACTAAAACTCGGGTACCATAAAAAAAAAAAATGAAAAAAAAAGAGAGAGAGAGGAAAGCTTGGTTCACAACGAAAAAAATGCCAACATCACACACACACACACACACACAACCTTTCTTTTTTTTTTTTTTTTTTTTTCAAACTTTTAACTTTCAAAGAAAAAGTCAAAACAACAACAGTTATACAAGCAAATTCCAAAGCGCTCGGAAGAACGTGAGCTGCCTCGTTGCCAGCCATGACAGCTCGCCCGTGACAAGCGGCTTCAAAAGCACTGCAAAATTGGGGCTTCAACGGACAACGTGTACTGCCTTGTTGACTGCCATGGCTTGACAAGCCCGTTGGCTAACTGCCCTCCAGCAGCTTTAAGCTCATGGCCTCGCGCATCCAAAGGGAACGAGCAACGTTATTGGCCCTTTTCGTCGCTCCCAATGACCGCCATGGCTAGAAGTCTTTGCCAATTTCTTTCATCGGAAAGCCCGACCGTCGTGGCCCAAATCCCCGCAGAGCAAGCGCAGCCCAGATCCTGGCAGAGCACCCGCATTTCTCAATGCCTCTGCCAGGAGCAAAAAGGAAGAGCGAATCAATGCTTATAGCTGCTGAGGTCCCTCTATAGGTTCGACACGTTCGACTGTGACACGTGCTTCACGTCACGGGCTACATGACGCATCTGAATACAGTATCGGCCGAACCAGTACGAGAAGAAATGACTTCGATTTCAGAGTCAAGGAACAGCCACGTGATCGCTCATCACGCTCGCCGGCCAGTTGGGCATGGCAGAGAAGTTGGTCAAACGAGTGCGAGGCGCGCTTGCAATGACTGTGCTTCATGTCCTTCTTGTTTTGTTTTGTTTTTTAAAAAAGAATATTGCGCTGGCTCTTGGTTTCTGCTCCTCGGGCGAGCCGCAGTGTCGTGACATTATCATCATCATCATCAGCATGAGGCGTTCAGCCAATCATTCGAGCACTCTGTCGACGCCCATCGGTCTCTCAGAATCCTGAGTTTCATCACTGCTTCCAGCACACGGTTGCGGTGCGCCTTGATGCCTCAACAATCGTCGAGGCATTGATTGTCGATGGCTGCCTTCACGTTGATCCCTACTCTTCAAATTGCTTCTTGATTCAGCAGCACACAGGCAAGCTGGTCGTTAACCAGCACTGTGTGGCGATTTTCATGCATGGTAATCTCCCAGTGCGTCTGGTCAACGCAGATGCGAGCATTGTCTTAAAGACCTCGCTGTAGTGCAGGCCACAATCAGGTCATGCCTTCACTGATCCTGGCCTTGTTACAAGACGTTACACGACCATATGCGACTGCTTTCGTGCGAAACGAAACTGGAAACCGTTCTTCACCAACCACCTAGGTTGCACGCAAACAAATGTACCCGTCGTGATGAACGGAATACGTCGGGCCTTTGGGCCAGCAAGGACGCAATAGCGTCAGGCAAAAGGAGCGTCAATTGACTCACCTCGTGCACATGCGACAGGTCAGCACAAGCAGAGAGAGACCGGGAAATGTACCCTTCGCGCATTTCCACTTTGCCTTCCCGAGGCCACTGACAAATGCTGCATCGTGAACGACATTGCCAATTGACGGTACCGCATTGGCACACTGCCAATCTGTGGGTTTGAAGAGATAGTCGCTGCCGCGGACAGCCTGTTTCGATGTGGCACAAGAGTTGGAGCGAAAAAAAAACCCCCGATCTCACACTACACCCGTCTTTTTTTTTGGCAGTGACCCGCAGCTTGGCACGCAGCCATCAAGCACCCGAGTTTCACTGTGACCAAGCTGGGTACGGCCATAGACGTTGCGTGCCGTCCTACCTGCATGCTGGCTTTGACACTCAGCGCCCCCGATGAAGCTCAAAATGCCACTCCCTTGGTCTACAGGACCGTACTTATATCTCGATGGCAGGAACGACCACGATGTTCGACATGCTTCCTCGCTGTGAAGAATAATCGAGCAACATCGCCGGGACTGGTGTCTTCCAGTGATACAGTAGCTTCTGGACATACGTCTATGCTTGTAGTCTAATGCATGATGATGGTGCTTCTTGTACTTCTCTTCTTGTCTTATTTGTGCTCGCGCTTGCTCCGTTTCTCCTGCGGCGGGCCGCCCTATCATCACCAGCTCGCGCAGTACCGCAGCCGCCAATATCGAGACACCATTGCCATCAGTCAATGTCATATCGGATGAAGACGGGGCAGTTTTTCGCTCTTTTTAGGTGATTGTTGGACTGCTCTGCTTCAGACGTTTGGCAAAGCCCGCCCTGCCCGTTGTTCCAGGATATCATCTGTTTGTGGTCATTTCACAAAGCAAGCAGAGAAAATAGAAACAGGTAAGGTACAAAGTAAAAATGCTACCTCCAGTCTACAGGACCGTTCTTATTTTTTGGTGGCAGGACACAATCACAATGTTCTACAGGCCTCCTTGACGAGCGCCGTCAAGAATAATCAGACACCATCCTTCAGTGGTTGATCACAACAGTCAGGACTGGTATCTTCCAGTGCGTTCCAGCAGCTACTGGACGTACGTCTATGCTTGTAGTCCAATACGTTGACTTCAATCTCTGCTTCATCGACAAGCCCACCACAAGCGTCACATATTTCACATGTCAATTTGTAGGTGCAGCTTGAGCGGCGGACGTTAGAGCGGCCACGCAGTCAACAAGGATTTGTAAATCTGGGACATTGAACAATTGAGGATCCACGCGCCAGCCGACGCTACAGAGAACAGCAGCAGCGCACCGCCAGCGTCTGGCCTGCTCCGCATGGATCAAGCCTTGGACTGGCACCGCGTGGAATTCCGATGAGAACAAGACAATGCGAACAATGACATGGGAATCAGGTTCGCACCATCGGAATTTGAAGTTTGGTAGGAGCAAAGGGTTTGGGTTGCGCCCAGTAGCTCTGTGATCACCTATAAAGGGAAACAGCTTCATCGGTAAGCAAGCTTGTCTCTGCAATCAGTACCACAAATAAAAAAAAGGCCCACCTCCAGCTCGATGCGATGCCTGCGAAGGAGCAGATCCAAGGGCCGTGCATCCCTCTGCCACAGCAGATCACCAGGTATCAATCGCAGGTGCAGCAGAATAGCGCAAAAGGTACGGCATTTTGATGAAAAGGCTTACAAGATCTCTCGCATCTGGGTCGGCACCGTGACGCAAGAGTTGCTGGACAACCTTTCGGCTGGCAGACGGGGCAGCGCAGGCTAGTTGGAGCGGCGTTTTGCCGCACTATGTATATTCAATGATAAAAATCATGAGACACGGTTTTTCTTCTTTTCTGAGGGGGGTCGTCGAGTGTGCTGGGGTCAAATTGAAGAAACGGCCGCTGTAAGCCGCTTGAGTGTGCGAGGGAGGCAGGGGCGCAATTGGCAAGGGATGGTATAGTGATTGGTTTGAAGTCACGACATTAGAAACGGGAAGCGCTCTGAAGATACAGCAAAACAAAGCGGGACGCAGGAAGCAGTGACAGCGCAAAAGGTACGGCATTGTGATGAAAAGGCTTACAAGATCTCTCGCATCTGGGTCGGCACCGTGACGCGAGAGTGGCTGGACAACCTTTCGGCTGGCAGACGAGGCAGCGCAGGCTAGTAGGAGCGGCGTTTTGCCGCACTATGTATAATCAATGATAAAAAACATGAGGAACGGGTTTTTTTTTCTTTTCTGTAGGGGGAAGGGGGATGAGCGTCGAGTGTGCCGGGATAAAACTGAAGAAACGGCCGCTGTAAGCCGCTTGGGTGTGCGAGGGGGGTAAGGGGGCGCGATTGGCAAGGGGTGATAAAGTGATTGGTTTGAAGTCACGATATTAGAAACAAACAAGGCGGGACGCAGGGAGCAGTGACAACGGGTGAACGAAAAATGGGGAAGCACAGGGATAACGGGAAAGAAGAAGATATTTTTTGTAGAGCAATGGGCAGAACGCATGCGTGCGGTGGGTAGGGTGTAGAGGAGCGAGGGACGGAGCAAAGGTGACGAGCAGCGGGAGCAGCCAGAGGGAGGGAGGAAGAAAGAGGTCCTGTGCTGACCGTGTTCTTGGCTTTAACATCAGCACCGTGCTTCAACAGCATCTTCACCACCTCGACATGACCCTTAAAGCAGGCATGGTGCAGTGGTGTATCACCATGCTGTGGGACGACGCATCAGCATTTTGCACAGGCACAGCATCAGCATCAGCATCATCATCATGTGGTACAGGTGTACCATCATGGGGGGAAAGGGGGAAGAGGGCGGCACTGTACTGACGTTGCTCTTGGCTTTAGCATCAGCGCCGTGCTTCAACAGCATCTCTTCCACCTTGACATGACCGTATAGGCAGGCCAAGTGCAGTGGTGTTTGGCCAATCTGTGGGATCGGACGTACAGGTACAGCATCATGTAGAACAGGTGTATCATCTTTGGGGGGAGGGGGCGAAAGAGGAGTAAAGAGGGGTACTGTACTGACAACGTCCTTGGCTGTAGCATCAGCGCCGTGCTTCAACAGCATCTCTTCCACCTTGACATGACCGTATAGGCAGGCCAAGTGCAGTGGTGTTTGGCCAATCTGTGGGATCGGACGTACAGGTACAGCATCATGTAGAACAGGTGTATCATCTTTGGGGGGAGGGGGCGAAAGAGGAGTAAAGAGGGGTACTGTACTGACAACGTCCTTGGCTGTAGCATCAGCACCGTGCTTCAACAGCATCTCCACCTCCTTGACTCGACCGAATCGGCAGGCAACGTGCAGTGGTGTTCAGCCAATCTGTGGGATCATAACGTCACTACAGCATCAGTGTCATATTCAAAGTGTTGGGGGGAGGGGGCGAAAGAGGATCATACAGCATACGTACCCTAGCATACGTACCCTGTTTTGAGGATCTGATGCGTTTGACAGCTGCTCGCCATCGGCACTCATGGTATCGGTATCTCTCGATTCACCATCCGCTTGAAACCGCGTAATGCTTCTCTAGCCACAATCAACCTCATGAGCTCGCTCCAAGTACAATTCGTATGACAACCCAGAAATTCGGACAAGGAGTCGACGTGTTCAAAACGGCAGCCGGTCAGTGGAACTGGCTCTTCTCTGCCTGATGCGCCACTGGCGAAGAAAGAATGACTTTGATTTCAGAAGCAAGGGCCACGTGATCGCGCTCATGACGCTCGCCGGCCAGGTGGGCATGGCAGAAGAGTTGCTCGGACGAGTGCGAGGCGCGCTTACAATGACTGTGCTTTTTTTTTTTTTTGCGCTTGCTCTTGGTTTCTCCTCGGGCAAGCCGGAGTGTCGTGGCATCATCATCAGCATGAGCCGTTCAGGCAATCATTGAAGCAGTGTGTCGATGCCCGTCGGTCTTGCAGAATTTTTCGGCAATCCTGAGTTTTATCGCTGCTTCCAGCACACGGTTGCAGTACGCCCGGGATGGAACAGGATATTTCTGAGGTCGATAATACCAGCTGTGGTTGGAAAGTATTCACGGTGACCAGACCAGGCACACGGTTGAATTGGCTTGAGAATCAGGGAAAGTGTGACGCGTGTCCAAGCGCAGGTATCACAACAAGAAGAGACAACGGAAGTCAAAGGCGGATCAGGCAGGTCAGTCTGCCAAGACTTTGCAAAGTATTTGAAACACACGCGAGGTTGACCTGTGAGCCTTCCCACATTCAAAGTTTGTGCGTGGATGTGCAAGCAAAGTCGAGCCACCTTCGGGTATCCCCAACGAGGAGGCCCTGTGGTGAACGACGCTGCATGTGTGCAAAAGCAGTGCAAGTGTCTGGGAGAGCTTGGTTTGACTGCACAACAAAGCATCCCAACGAAAACATCTAGGCAGTGTAGTAGACGACTAGTTCGGGGTAAACCTGGGCATTGTCGAACATTATCACCTCATGAAACGTTCCTTCCGGTGTAGCAATGACAGATCAAATCTGCAAGACAACCAAACATGAGTCCCATCAAACTGTGAGACGGGACTCGACGGCATTGCATCTTGATCGACATACCGCTCGTTGTTGGGTGCATCGGGCAGCAGTGGGGGAGCCAGCGCCCCGAAAAGAGGCGAAGGATGGACGAAGGCACGGCCCAACAGGGCTCGCGTGACGATGAGCATGCGTGCACCGTTTCCTCTGGGCGTCGCATAGTTGTGACTCTACACCCAGGTTCAAGTAGACACACAGCGTCAATAAACCAAAGTGATGACAAGCACGTAGAGCCTTGTAAACCAACGGTTCCACCACACCTTGCCGGGATGGTCAGCCAGGTAAACGCCAAGACCATACTTGTGGCCCGCGCGGCTGCCGGCAAAGCGATCGTCGAGGCCCAGGCGCACAATCTTGTCACGCCGCAACGGCGCGGGCGCGATGCCGTGGAGCAGCAGGCGCTCTTGACAGGGTGCATCTCGAAGCAAAGCTGGACAGCCCGGAAGTGCGTCCGATGTGGTGGTTACAAGTGGATCAGAGGACGAGGTCAACACTGCCCACCAAGCCGCCGAAAAGCAGCGTGTGGAGGCTGGACGGTAAGTCGAAAATCAACGCGAAATCAAGTCCTTGAAGGAAATGGCTCTAAAATACGCCGAAGCATATATGACGCTCTCACCCAGCTGCGCCTATGAACGTCAACCCTCTCTTCACGAGACCACCTTAAAAAAAGTAAAGACCGCCTTAAAATTGCACATGTAAACACCTTTGCCAACAGTGGAAAGGGCTTTGTTAATCATGGCTATTCCCACCATTCCACGATAGAGGAGTCCACAGTGTACTGAGCGCCCTCGGCCCTAAAATACAATATGGCAGCCACAGCTGTCTGGACGTCTGTCTTCAAAGTCCAAACCGGCTCGGCTATGTTATTGATCTCATGCAATGTGGCGCAGTACCTCTAACGATTCATACTAAAGTGTTCCATCACTTAAATACTTTCTTGGGCTTTTTGAGTCAGGTGCGGCACAACGGGTGCAAACGGCAGCGCCACCTCTGAACACATTCGAAGGTTTATCATGTCACCTGGAAGGGAACACGGACGTGCCATTGTCAACATGTGTGCATCTGAGCTTCTTGATAGCAATTTTACCCACAAACATCAACCACCTTCCAGAACCTTCTAGAAGGATCTCGCCGATTTTCGTCCTTGACGCTGCTTTCTTGCCACCGTCAAATAAGCACGATCTCGCCAATCGTGAGTGGCATTTTGCTATGAATGTTGTCTTTAAAGTCCCTTTGCCTGTCTTTGCCCACGCTTACTCTACAAGGCCGCGGTCTCACCTGTGACAAGTGCAATCGAACCGCTTGGCTCTTTGTGGTAAAAGCCTTCTCGTATAGGTTATGGGCCTCGGGTGCGTGGGGACTGTGTCACAGAGCTGAAGACTTGCATGCTACGCAGCCGAATGCGAGTACCTCCAAGGATAAACCAGAGTCAAAAAGGCCATCGAGAATATGGCGGTCATTTCCCAGATTGTCCAGGACATCAAGGCCTTCAGTGTCAACTGGCCCTTGTATGACGGCTACGACGTACCCAAGCTGGTCGAGCTGCGCAAACAACTCAAGAGCCGTTGCCTTGTCTATGGCGTCCCCTTTCTGGACAAGCTGAAGAGCCTCTCGGACGAGGACCTGGGAGAGCACAAGGACGACAAGGACAAGATCGAGGCAATCAACGATGTTCTATTGCAGGTGCTGGCGTCCAAGCTTCAAGGAGCTGCCATTGACGAGTTCAACTCCATGTTTGAGGATGCAGAGGGCAAGGTCATGCTGTACGACTGGTTGAAGCGAACTGACAGGGACCTCCAGACCCTTTACAGCGACCTTGACAAGGTGGAAGCCGAGTTGACTAGCATCCAGCTTAAGAACAAACAGGGGCTGACTGCTTACAGGCAGATTGTCGAGAAGATTGTGTCAAAGCTGCAAGCAGGCGGAAGATTCAAGGAGAATGACGTCGTCGAGAAGTTGGTAAGCAACCTGCCCTCACAAGCACGAGTCTACATGGAAGACAAGATGGAAGCCGTGGAGGACAATAAAAAGACAATGGTGACTTTCTGGGCCATCCTCAAGAGGGCAGTGATGTGCATGACAGATGTGCCCGCAAAACGCGGGGAAGCCTATCGTGCACGTCGTGTTGGACCTCGTCAGAAGAATGCATCAGAAGGCAAAGGCTTTCGCAGTTTCAACGGCAACTGCCACTACTGCCAAGGCCATGGCCACAAGAAGGCCGACTGTGAAGCCTGGCGGGCGGCCACGCAAGGACCCAAGAGCGGCAACGACAACAAGTGCTTGACACGGCGCAAAGGCATCAGCGACGATGGAAGGCATGTGCCGGCAGTGAACATGACAACCGTGCGCACCTTGATGGCACTGGCGGCATACCAGCATTATCATGTGCATCAGGTGAATGTGAAGCCGGCGTTTATGCACACATCGCTCGATGAGGGCAACTGTGTCCACGTACGACGTGATCCAGAGGCTAGACTGGGCGGCTATGAGTACGCCAGACTCAACAACGCAGAGTCTGGCCAGAAGTCGGCATCTCGTGCCTGGTACCACGAGCTCGACCAGCATTTGCGCGACACCATGCAATGCCGCCGACTGCGACTAGATGAGTGCGTCTACGCCTACAAGGAGGACAAGGACATTGTGTGGGCGATGGTCTATGTAAATGACATTTTGCTCGTGGGTAGCACAGAGCGCGTCATTGACCATTTCAAGCACAAGCTCAAGGGCAATGGCAAATTCAAGAGCAAGGACTTTGGCCAACTTAAGAACTTTTGCAACATGGAGTTTGAGATAACTACGGGCTCGGTCACGATTAAGCAGACTGCCTACATTGACAGCATTCTGAAAGAGTTCAACATGGCCTCGTGCAAGCCCGTGAGGACACCGTGGACGACAGGTGCAAAGCTGGAACGTGTGACCAAGAGCAAAGGCGACTTTCCCTATCGCCAGTTGTTGGGCAAGCTGAAATACCTTGCATCTCACACTCGTCCCGATATTGCTGCAACTGTGAGTTTCCTAAACGCTCACAGCCAATTTTTTGACGAGACTCATTGGCAGGCAGCCAAGCGCCTACTGCGCTACCTCAAGGGTACCAAGGACTTTGGTATCCGTTTTGAAGACACGCAGGAGCTGCAGCTATCAGTTTATACGAATGCCGGCTTTGCCCAAGAGCACGACAAAAAAGCCCACGAGGGCTGTGTCATTTTTCTGTGCAATGGCCCCATCCACTGGCACTCAAATCGTCAGACCACGACTGCAACCTCGACTGCTGAGGCAGAGTACATGGCCACACACAGAGGCGCGGCCGAGGGTCTTGGACTGCGAGAGCTGATCTGCGAGTTACTCATTGTGCCAGAGCTCAAGCCTTTTGTCTACTGTGACAATCAAACTGCCATTACCAACGTAATCGATGGCAATGCTCAAAGCGAACGACACCACGTGCTTATCAGGTTTTATGCCCTTCGCGAGATGCACGAGCGCAACCAGATTGACATTGTTTACTGTCCGGCCGACAACATGATGGCAGACGTGTTAACCAAGCCAGTATCCCGCGATGCTCATGAATGCCGTTTGTCTTCGATATGCACTCAAGGTCGTGGCGTGGGTTGTGCAGCCTCGTGACTTTGCAAGAGACTTGTTATGAGCAGGCTGGGATTTTTTCGCAGCGCCCTTAAAAACCCAATGATAAAAATTGGTGCGCATGAAAATTGAACTTTTACAAAAAGCTTCAGAGGAGCATTGGTTTTCGAAGTTGGTGCTTGTTGAATGGCACATTGAAAGGCGATTCACCGCGAGACAGTATGGCGATTTTACTTTTCAATCGGGTGGCAACGACAAAACAGTATAAAAGGAACAGGAACAGGGAAATGAATGCAAATGCGATTCACAGCCACCAAAGCCGCAGTTCAAATTGCGGTGGCCAGACACGAACTATCATGGCGCACGAGCCAAAATTTCTATCAAAGGATGACTATTGGCGAGAAGGTCCTGACGGGTGATTGATGCTCGTAGCCCAATGCTCACCCTTAAGCAGAGAAACATAACTTGTGCCGAATAATCCAGCTTTTTGCCCATGCCAGTTGGGGCCACGGTTAATAACAAGCCTTCCTGGGCTACAGCCTGCCGGCACCAATCGATGCTCACCCCAATCGCAAACCGTTGTCTTCCACGCTTGCTGCGCATGCTGATCCAGTCCAACCCGGCCTCCGTGCTCCTGTTGCGCTGGCTCTTTGCGTTGGCTTTGCCACAAGCACACGCTCCTGACAGTTTCAAGCTCCTTTGCAAGCATGCAGGCATTTCACAGCGGCATGTGGTTCAATGCCGACCAGAAGACACGAGGCACACGGTTTTCGGAGCGAGTACGCATCATCTCTCTATGGCGATGCCAAAGGCCCACACTAAGGCGCCAAAGCAAGCGTCAGGCAAGTCGACAAGAGCCAAGTCTTGCTTGGAAGCTGTCCAAACACCCTTAAAAACAGACTTGATATGGTAAAGATGTGATCTGCCAGACATTCTGGGGCCAGTAGAGGATTGGATGCCATAACTTTGTCATCCTCGCGCTCAATTCTGTGCGTCAAGCCAAAATGGCTCATCTTGCGCTCGAGGCTTTTGCCCACAAACACCTACTATCGCCATGCCGTAGCACATTGTGTTTTGCAGCGATGGAGGGGCATGGCAATGCATGAGCGTCCAAGTCAACCCATCATCTCGAGCAAAGTTGTGCCATGTCTTAAAAGGTCTGGGACCTGTTGCTGTGCAGCTTCACATACGTTTCGCGCGGCAAGATCCCGATGCAGCACACCTTTGCGTCTCCAAGAATGCCAACCCGGTTGCGATCTGGCAGCCAAAGTTGGTCAATAGCCCCAAGTCAAGTGAACGCGATCCCCTTGACGACGAGCGGCATCCTTGTAGGTAGTCATGCAGGGAGGGTCCCCAGTTCCGGGACATCGACAAGCAAGATGGGCGGGTTGTCACGCAAACAGTTTCCAAGGATGCCCATAACATTTGGGTGCGCTTCAATGCCTTTCAACACAGTTATTTTGGCCAAAAGGTCTTGGCTTGCTTTGGACGCAGCTTTTGAGTTGAGCGATTTGGCATTGCACGGTCTCTGCTCACTGTCTTGCAAGTTGTGGATCCAAGCCCAGCGAATCTCGCCAAAAACATCATCTGCAAACTTTTCACCCAAGGTTAAAGCTCGCGCTCCACTTTCCAAATTTCACGTCCGGCAGTGAGTGTGACCCTTCGGACATTGACATTGTGGTTGTCGGCTCTGCAGAGTGACGCTTACGCTGGCGTATGAAGAGGACAAATACCAAAAGTAGAAAAAGGAGCAACGCAGCACCCGTGTCAATGGGCGCGGCGTGAGCCATAGCAACCAGAATCCACAGGCTTTTGGCCACGACTCTGGCTTTGACGCGTTCGATCATGATGCTTGTTGTTGGTGCCGAGTCGTTTGCAAACTCTCGATTTCAGATCGCGTTTCACTCTGCTTTGGAAACAACAAGCGACCTTGACAGATTGATTGGTTAAGATGATGTCAGGACTCATTCGAGCTAATGTGGCAAGTAAAACGTCCGCACCGGCAAGCGATCAACACTGCACGCTGCGCCGAGGCCATCAACTTTTTCCTCTCTTGTCGACCATTTCATACTCTCCCTCGCTCTTTGTCTTTGAGAAAAATCTCATGTCAGAACAAACACCAAAAAAAAAAGGCCAACAGCACCATGTATTCCCATCTGGTCACCCACGATAGTACTAGCATGGCCCAACATGGCTTGACTGCGGCGATCGGACGAGAGCCGGTATATTCCACGTGAAATGACCGTTGGCGATGGTTAACGGCTTCAACGGTTTTAAGAAGGCTCTTTTCTGGCATGATGTCCATGGAGCACTTTGAATCGAACGAGTTGTGTGTGAGGTTGAGGCGGAAAACTGGGGCATACAGGCTCGCTCGAATGAATTTTTCTCAGACACTTTTCAATTATTTATTGGGTGCACGTCACTCGTGTGACCCACGCGGCAATCAAGCACGCCATGCCCTGACATCCATCCCATCGCATCTCTGCTTGTTCAAGCAGGCCATGTGGCTTAGGCTCGACAGAGGTGCTCAAAGACTGTGATGCCCGGCTGCAGAAGAGAGTCGGGGAAGTTGTAGGCTGAATCGTGCAGACTAGGCTGTGCCTCGCCCGAGCCTAGCAGCAACAGGGCCCCGCAAGCCTCACTCCCATAGCGCGAGCGTGCATCATTGAGCAGCACGCCAAAGTCTTCAGACCAGCGTGCGGGTTCTGCTGGGTTGACGCAGGCCAGCGAGGCGGCACTGGCGGCATTGACCACCATTTGCACCGCCAGCTCGTCGTTGACGGTAGCTGCAAATGGCTCTACCAGCTCAATGGTATTGTCGAATCCGGCCGCGTGTTCGGCCACAAGATTCCGCACGCGCGTCACCTCTGCTTCGAGGAGAGAATCCTGCTCTGAGCGACAGGTGACTTGCAGAACGGCGTGACCAGGGGCAATGCCGTACGTGGGCTCTCCGACTCGAACATGCGTCAGCGTTGTCATGGTTAGCGGCTCGCCGATCGCCGCGGCGCGCGGGAGATTCTCCATGAGCTTGGCCACAGCAGCAGCCGGGGAGCGCCCGCTCTCGGGACTCGCGGCATGGGCCGTAGCGCCACGAAGGGTGATGCACAAGCCGGTTGATGCGCATGCCATGGTTCCGGGCCGGCAGCCGACCTGGGCCAGCGGATGGCCTGGGTAATTGTGAATGGCAAAGTTGCGAGGAGCCGCAAGAGCCGCCCATCGTGCATCGGCTACGACGGCAGCGGCGCCGAGACCAGTCTCCTCACTTGGCTGAAACAGCAGAGTAACGCGTCGTTGGGGCCGAGTTGCGTGCAGGCGCAGGGCCAGACCTGCGAGACAGCTGGCGTGGCCATCGTGGCCACACGCGTGCATCACGCCCGCGTGTTGCGAGCTCCAGGGGACGTGAGAAGTCTCGGTGATGGGCAGAGCGTCGAGCTCGGCTCGAATCAGTACACCCTGATGCGCTGGCGCCGCTTCGTTATAGATGGCAGCCAATCCCTCACCGCCAAGGCCGCGCACGAGGCGATCGGGAGGCGCGTGCTGGACGAGCCATTCGGCGAGATGAGCGGCCGTGCGCGCTTCCTTTCCCGACACCTCTGGGTGTGCGTGCAGCCACCGCCGCAGCTCCTTGACCCGTTCTGCGTCGTGATCCATCCTTGATACACACTGCCACGGCTTTTTTTCACGCCTTTTCACCCGCGCCGTCGCTCTCCCAGTCGGCTTGACGACCTTGGAAATGACCCATGTGTCGGCGGCCCTGTCAGTCAAAAAACGCTCACTCGTGAATTGTCAGCTTTTTTTATTCTTCTTTTGGATTGCATAACTCGAGGTGTGTCGCCAGTCCAACTTTTTTGGCTTAAAAGCACAACAACGCTCGGCGGGCTCGTGGGGGTCGTCTGTCTTGTGTCTTGCAGATCTCGTTATGCGCGTCGCCTCTCTTGAACCTTGCGCTTGGTGAATGGATGGATCAGCAGAGGCACCTGTGTGGGACTGGTGGCGAGTCGGAGTTTGAGATCATTGGATCATTTTTCCGAGTTGAACTCGACATTCGTACATACATGAGAACATGAAGGCTGGGGCCACCTTATTCGTGGGCAATCTGCCCTTTACAGCAAGTCTGGCCGAGGTGGCACGATGCCTGGTTGCTGCACTCGGTGATCTGGCTGCACCAGCGGATGGCTTTTTGATTGCGGTACGTGCAGTGGTTCACACGCTCAAATGTCTTCAGCACACTCGTGGATTGTTCGCTTACGCCACCCCCTAGGCGGATCATGACAAGACGCTTCCCAAAGGCCGCCTCTTTGTTCGCACTCCGTTTCTCGATGATGATCGATTAAGGGACGCCACTGCTCGTATCACCAGCGCCAAACTTGAAGGTATGCGACTGCCGCATCTGATCAGCAGAGTGCTTTTTACCCGGGAGAGCAGCATGAGCATGGTTGTTGATTACCTGTCTGGTCTGATTGATGTATCAACATGGATGTAATTTTATTATTCACCGCAAAGCCTGCCTCATTGATTGGTGACTTTGACAGGACGTACATTGCGTTGTGACATTGCCAAGGCCTTGCAGCCCGAGGCCCGCTTCCAGGACGGGCATTTGACGCTGGCACGCTTAAGCCCAGCTGCCCCGGAACCGGCAGGACCGGCTTTGGCTAGCCCCGCTCGCAACAGGCCCACCCGTGCCCAAGCGGCACCAAAGGAAAGAAAAGGCAATGACCCGGATGTGCGGCGTATGCCGTTGCAGGAAAGTCCGTATCCAATCGTCGATATTGGAACAAACCTACTGGGAGTGGAGCAGCTGCAGCGTGCACGCGAGCTGAACGTGCAGCCCCTCATCCTAACAGGCACCGACCTAGCGGGCAGTCGCAAGCGCGCAGATTTGGTGCGCCGCCACCCAGGCACCCTGTACAGCACCGCCGGTATCCACCCCCACCAGGCCAAGAGTATGTTGCACCCCTTTCCTCGTCATGCACCAGTCTTGCTCGCGCCTGCGCTGCACCCTACTAGCCGGTGCACGCAGACCGTCGTCGGGACCTGGGTCCGGCGCATCTTCCTTGACTTTTTCCTGACGTCAAAACCGCTTGCTTGCTGGGTCTGCAGCTTTTTCGCCTGCTGTCTTGGAGGAACTGCGGCAACTGGCCCAGATGCCGGGAGTGGTGGCCGTTGGTGAGACGGGCTTGGACTATAACCGCAACTTTTCCAGCCCGGCCCAACAACGAGCCTCCTTCCGCGCCCACGTTGGTCGATCGCCCTGCCTCCCCTTGTTTTCTCGTTGCTGTGATGACACGCCTGTGGTCGTGAGGCAATGATGCATCCGGATGTATCCCAACGCTGCGCCTTTATGCCGTTTTAGGTACAACTCGCGGCTGAGCTGGACCTCCCATTATTCTGCCATGAGCGCGAGGCGCATGCTGACTTTGTGGCAGTCCTGGACGAATTCCCTCGCCTGCCCCCGGTCATTGTACACTGCTTCACGGGTGAGCGACCCGAGCTACATGATTACGTGCAGCGCGGCTATTACATTGGCGTCACGGGGTACCTTGGCATGCAACGCCGCGGAGCGGCCTTGCGTGAGTTTCTGGCGGCCGAGGTTCCTCTTGAACGCTTAATGATCGAGACGGACGCTCCCTACATGGCCCCAGACGCGGCGCGACCACACATTGGACGCAATAACGCGCCCTTTACCCTCCCCTTGGTGCTGGACGTTGTGGCCCTGCTCTATGGGATGGATCGAGCAGACACGGCCCGCCGTCTGACCCAGACCACTGTAGAGGTGTTTCGTCTGCAGGCCGTTCACCAGTCCTGATCGAAACGTGTTCATAAAAAAAGCTGCAATTAATTACCTCCTCTTTCTTGACTGCCAACTTTCAGAGGCAACGGCGGGTGGCCTTCCCGCATTGAGCCGGAGCGAGCGATGCACTAAATTTTCTTTTTATCCTTACCTCGCGCTTTGTCCTTTTCTCTCTTTTCTTTTCTCTTTCTCTCTCTTTCTCTCTCTCTATTTTTGCTCTCTCTATTTTTGCTCTCTCGCGAAATTTTGAAAAACGAAATTTTTTTTTCTTCACAAATTTCAAATCTCGTGTGTTGTGTTCGCCAGCACGTCCTCCTTTTGGGGGTAGGCAGGTTTGAGGTCTGAGGTGTGGACGTGGACGGGCGCGCACAGAGACGAAGCAACTCTCCAAAAGAGTTGGCAGCTAGTGGGACCCACGGGTCATGGCCAGCGAAATAGGAGCCGGCTTGGGCGCGCCGCCGCCGTCGAGCATCAGCAGCAGTGGCGCACCAGCCGGTCTCGTGGTGGCATGCGTCTTCAACGACGCGCTGCATCAGGTTCAGGTGGCCATCTTGCCTGCGGCGCTGGTCCTCAAGATTCAGGACGACGTCACGGGCGAGGAATGGACTGGCTCGTTTACAACCGCCTACGTGGAGGACATGACGGCCCGCACGGGCAATTTCAAATCCTTCACGACTTTTACTGCCATGCTCACGCGCAGCCTCTCTCACCCGACTCCTCAGCTTCAGCTACACTGGCTGACGTATCGCGCCCTGCAGCGCCTTCGCTCCCAGCCCGCGCCCAGTGAGCCTGAGCTGGCCTCTTTTGAAAGCAGCCAAGGGCTCGACGCTGCCGATCCCACGGCCTCGCGCCGCTATTTGATTTTAACCTACACATCTGAGTTTGATCGCACCCACTACCCGCTCCCCCTCGAGTGTGCTGCCCCACCCACAGTCGGTGCCCTGGCCGCCCGGTTGCGCCACTTGCACCATGATAATCAGCAACTACGCCAAGCCCTGGACGCAGCCCGTTCACAGCCGACGCCGCCTCCCACTGAGCACCCTGATGCACCGGCCAACAAGGGCGCCTCTAAAGACTCCCCGCTGACTGCCATTGTCGAGGCCCAAATGCAAGAAATCGATGAACTGCGCCAGATCATCTCACAGCAGCGCACAGATCTGGAAGCACTTCATCAGACCGTAGCCCAGCGTCCGCGGGGCCCTTCAGCGCAGGATCTAGACATGCTCCGCACGATGATTTCTCAGCTCGAGCATGATCTACTCGAGCAGAAGAATCGCCACCAGAGCCTGGTCGCCGGCAAGAACACCCAATTACAGCGACTCCGCGCAGAGCTTGAAGCCGTCTCTGCCAATGAACGGGCTCTCCAACTCAAGTGCCGCAACCTCAGTGCCCAGCTGCACGCCCGCTCTGCTTCAACGCCGCAACGCCGCTCCAACCCCGTTGGGTCCACCGGCAAAGCGCCCGCATCTGGCCCTCGTCCTCGTGCTGCTGCTGTTGAGGAGCGCCGAGCTTCTGCCTCGCGCAGTCGCTCCGCATCGCGCCCTGCAAACACACGCCAAGCCGCCTCAACCGGTAAGTTACACAAGCGTTTGTCTGTCTGTTGTTAGTCGGTTTCACCTGCAGCCTGCTCGCTCGGATTCCACCATACCCTGTCTATCTGCTCTCATACCCACACTTTGCGGCCCTGCCTTGTTAGAGCCGCGGGGACGAGATCGCAGTCGCAGTCGAAGCGTGTCCGTGCATGATCGTGCAGTCAGCCGCACCGGTGCGGCGCGACAGAGCACACCCTCGCGTCGCACTCGCTCCGCCTCGCCTCGCCCCCGCTTTGACCCCACCGCATATGTTAAGGAGCGGCAGGCTAAAATCGAGGTAAGACTCTTGGCGCCAATGGCACCTGGCATGGCAATGCACACCTGTGTTAGTTTGATGCGCTTGCAACGACCGCGCTGGTAGGCTCAACGACAAAGGCGGACGGCTGCAGACGAGCAGCGGCGAGGGCGGTCCCCGTCCCCCGCTCCGCGAAGTCGGACTGCCTCGTTTAGGGGGCCCAGTCGCGGTTCGAGCCGCTCCTCCTCTGTGCACCGTGCGTCGCGTGGCCCAAGCCGCTCACCAAGTGTCTCGGCTCGGGGTCGCCGCCATGATGATGGGTATGTGCTTGTGATCCTAGCGCGCGAGTGCGCTTTTTATCGTTCTGGCCATCTCATGGCTCGGCGGTGTACACCTGATGACCAACAGGCCGCGGCATGGGGCACGGCCTGCCCGTTCGCCGTCCTTTGATTACAGCTTCAAGCGCCGAGAGCAAGGTATGAGACCCACGCACGACAAGGCTCGGCTTTCTGTCAATTACGCTTTCATGGGTAGCATTTTTTTTCATTTGGGTATTTGAGATCTCCGCCTCCTTACACTATCCTCGCGGGGACCCATGTTGTATGGCACCGGGTGGCAGGCGCGGACACGAGTGCCCCTCAACCTGATATTGCCGAGATTGATCGGCGCCTGCAAGCACTCCAGGCTTATTTAAATCAATCGTCATAGAGCGGTCACATGCGGGCCGCGCGTCCAGCGCACCCGCAAGGCCTCCCTTATGAGAGGGGCCACGGGCAGAGAGAAGGAGGTTTATTCATGAGAACCAGCCCTTGGGCTTGGCTTGTTCTTCTCTCAGAGCCTGATGCTGCTCCTCGAGCTCTGTGAGCCGAGTCAGGATCTGAAATTGCAGCTGGTTCTGCACCTCAAGTTGCTCAATCCGTTCGTTTGCCGCATCCAGATCGTGCCGCAGCGATGCCAGCTGCTGATTCTGAATAGCTTCTTTCCGAGCGGATTTGGTTGAACTGGTATTATACTCAAGGACCATCAAGGCCGTGGCCACGCTGTGCGCCGGCACAACAAAGAAGTGTGAAGGATTGAGGGCGTGCACCGCGTTGTGCTCGTGGGGGAGGGGAGTGCGTGGCCAGGTTCAAGGCAAGCGACCCTTACCTGTAAATAAAGGCTTCACCAAGGAATTCTGCACCATATTCCGTAGCACCTGCAAACAACTCGCGCAAAAAGTTCAGAGTGATTGGTAAGGTCACGGGACAGCCATGACAATGACCGAGTGCTTGCCAATAAACACGTACCAGCAGCATCAAGTGGGGTGACTTCCTTGCGGGAGCTGCCGAGGGTCAGGCGGCGTAGCCGCACACCAACCCAATGCGTCACTGCGAGCGCAAACATGTGAACAGAGTCAGTGGTGGACCGATTGGTTTGATGGGGCCGGCAAGCCATTGCCAACCTTGGCCGACGGGAATCAGGAATCGGTTGCGAAAGACGCCGTGCTGTTTGGCCTGGTCCTGTCGACGAACGCATCAAGGTGGTGAGCATGGCGGCTGATAAAGCATCTGTTTCGGTGCACCTCCCGTGACACGGGAGTGCATTCCATCGGGGCGATGATAGAGGGGACGACGTTGAGGGAGCCCTGACCTTGAGCAGCTTGGAAACAGGCTTTGAGAGCGTGCGCACTGTCAGCGCCAGAATCTTGCCCAAAGGTAGTGCCGCCATGGCGCCACTGGATACAGCTCGGCTTTCCTTCTGCAATTCCAGCAGAGACCAAAGAAAACCACGAGGCAAGACCAGCCAGAACAGCCAGACAAATAGACGGACTGCACCGCCCTCGTTCGCCCCCTAAAATAATAAAATAAAGCCAGCAGCTCAGCTCACAGCTCACACAGTTGACTGATTTCCGTTCTTGCACAAAAACAAAATTCGAGAATTGCAGTTTAAAATGGCGGACAAGATGTTGTCATTCTTTTTTGTTTTATAGGGTTGCATGTGATCAAACGATGATCTGGGTGGCGCGCACAGGAAAGGGCGGCAAGGCGCAGGACGTGCCAAATCATTAGTTCTCTTGGATTTTCAACAGGCGTTCAACTGGTACAAACACCAGCTGTACATGCATCAAGGACTGGAGCAACAGGCAGGAAACACAAAGCACAGAGCGCGCACAGCACCAGCGAGAGGGAGGTGGCTGTGGGCATCATTAAAGAGGCGCCCGAATCACGCTCGCTACACAACAAATGGAGTAAAGGAGTTAGGAAATCATAAAGATCAGGTCCAAGTTCTTGAGACCGGTCCCGACATAGACGTGGCCGAAGATGGGCGATGAGATGCCGTGATAAAACACGGCACCAGGCCAAACAACGCTGCGAAGGACGGCGACGGTGGCCCCCTTTTGATACTGTATGCTCCAGCAGCGCTTCACAGAACATGCCAACCGGTGAGTCAAGCTGCCGCTTCACCTCCTCCCATAGTGCCTGCCCGACATTTGAAAAAGTATCTGTCTGCCAGGCCACCCATATGCCGCCCATCTGCCACAGGATGACGAGCAAGCGCACCTTGGGAATGTCGTCCGCCAACGAATCCAAAAAGTCAAGGGCCGGGTCCAATTTGGCCTGAACATGTGGCCAATGAGCCAGCAAGCGCATTGGGTGCCAGTGAGAGAGCGCGCGTGTGTACGAGGAGAGGCGACCCGATATGCGAGTGAGCAAGCCATGTACACGATCAAGCCGGTGATGCAGCGTACCAGCTGAAGGTTGGTCTTCATTTTTAGTGTTTCGGGCTCACGGCAATGCATGTAGTTGTCAATCTTGCCGGCGTCTTGGAACGACAGGCCCGAAAAGGTGTGCGATTTTTCAATCTTGTCGCCCGGTGTCTGATTGCGGTTGCATCAAAAATAGCAACAAGGACAGGATCAACAAGTGAGGTGACAGGCTCAAGACCTGAATGTGGGATTGCCAGCAGTTGTGCGTCCACGCATCGAACAGACAATGGTCCACCGACCTTGCGGTAAGCGCCGCGCGGCACAACGCGAGCAGCCTGGTCAATCAAGTGAATGACAGCGGCCAGACGCTTCTCCTCGCTCAGCGTAGTGGTCACAATGACCGTGTTGTCTGACTTGGTCTCCTCCTTACGCAAGCTCGCCACCTAAGACACAACGGTAGTGCCGATCCGGCAATGAGCTCAAAATATGAAGCGAGTCCAAGTGCCAGAAGCGGAAGGGCGGGCCTCTTGTCCTCCAAAGCCACGCACATCAATGGGCAGCTCGGGCCGCTCTTCATCGGGTGCGGGACCGGGCTCCTGAACCGTGTACTCGTGTGATGGGTTGCCTGTGAAGCGAGTTGTCAGGCCTTGTGCCGACGCAATCAGGACAGGGTGGACATCGGCGACGTGCGCCCACTTGATGCAGTCCAAGCTATCGGGATGGCGGGGTGAAAAACGATGAGGGAAAAGGGTGCTCCTGGCATTCTGTTCCAAAGGGCCACTCATAAAGACACCAGCCCGTGACCAGCATGGATTCTCCTGGCTCGCTTCTGTTGAACATGGGGGCAAAGCAAAGTGCAGAGGCGACGGGGGAGTACCTCATAAAGTTCTTGCGCTGGAAGGGATCCTGGTTGTAGCCCTGGGCAATATAGTAGTCGGCGGTGAGGCCTTGAATCTTGCCCCAGTAGGTCATGTGCTCCAGCTTCTCTGCATGCTGGAGAAGCACTAGCGAGGTTTGCAGCGCCACCCGCTTTTCCGTGCTCAGCACGATGCCATTGCTGGCCACATAGTCCAGTCCCAGAGAAAGCTGCTGCAGGTCCATGGCCCGCGGTTGTGCTCTGTCTCCTCTCCCTCAAACTTCCGACTCGAGTCTCCAGAGACCGATCAAAGAAAGCGTGCGGCGTCCGCTACTCTCACTCGCTGTTGCCGTCGTCCCCACGCCTGTATCAACGCGGCCGCAAATCGCTGGTCAGACAAGCCCTCGCCGCCGATCCACTCAGTCAGCTGTGCAGCTTGCTCGGAAGAATAGAAACTGAGCAGCGTTTGTGACCCAGAAAATGCCGTCGCCAAGGCCACGAAATAACTGAATCAATCCCGCTGCTGATAATCCCCTCAAAACAATAGTCCAATCCCGTTCCCTCACAACCCAGCAACAAGTGTGATCTTGATCCACTTTGACTCTTGATATTGTAAAAGTGTGTTTCAAGTCATACTTTACTGGTCGGTAGCCTGCGGACGTGGAGGCCGCTACTTCCCGACCAAGTGTGAGTGCTCTCTCCGTGAACGACCAAGTGTAAGTGCTCTCAGTGAACGCAACGAATGTGCCACACATGCAAATGGCAGCCGGGTCCCAAGTTGCCTGAGGTGCAAGTGTGCTGGGCAGAACTGGTGGGAATACCTCCAAGGAGGATCATCGCAGCAGTTGTGCCCCGGGGGACTCTGTCTGCCCCCCATTTGAAATACTTGATGCACAGAGAGAGAGAGAGAGAGAGAGAGGATTGGCCGCATAGATGTGTCGACGTCAGCTCCTCGATCTGGATCGCGGTGTTGTCACTGCACGGTCCCACTGCTGGCCCAATGGCATCCATGTCATGGCAATTTGTATGCCAGTGCTGCACTGAAACAGGCTCTCTGAATTGTATCCTTGTGTGCTCCATACATCTGCGGGCACAATGTGTGGCGAGAGACTGTCCTCACGGGGTCTCTGACCTGGTCTGTGCGCTTACACCTGCTTAGGGCCGGACCCCCCGGACCAACAACCCACCGCTGCCCCGATCTAGCCCCTCTTTCCGCCCACCGTCGTGATGGCCCAGCAACAAATGTCCTACCAGGACTGGATCAATGCCTGTGAGGATACGGATGGCATTCGCTTCTCTTGGAACGTCTTCCCCTCGAGCCGCATTGAAGCGACTCGCATGGTGCGTGGCTTTGACCCGGCCCACAACTAGCGAGCCATAACATGCGGTGCTTTGGCACTCGTAGCACACAACCGCTCATATCAACTTCTCTTGCCGCTTTGACATGCTGCTGTTTGCCGAAAATCCTGACCTCGCATGGTGCTGCTTGGTGGTGTGATCAAAGGTGGTGCCCGTGTCGTGCCTGTTCACGCCGCTGAAGGAGCGCCCGCAACTGCCGCCAGTGCTCTACGAGCCCGTAACCTGCTCGCGCCAAACCTGCCGTGCCATCCTCAACCCACTGTGCCACGTGGACTTCCAGACGGCCACCCCGTTCTGGGTGTGTTCCATCTGCAGCCAGCGCAATGCATTCCCCCGCCATTACAAGAACATTAGCCCACAGCACCTGCCGGCCGAGTTGGTGCCCCAGTTCTCGACCATCGAGTACACCCTTCAGCGCCAAGCCACCGTGCCGCCCGTCTTTCTCTTCGTGATGGACCTTTGCATGGACGAGGAAGATCTGCAGGCGCTCAAGGAGTCCCTTGTCATGTCGCTCAGCCTTCTGCCTCAAAACGCCCTTGTGGGCCTCATTACGTTTGGCACTACCGTGCAGGTGCGCCTTGCAACCGCCGCTGATGAGCTCTTGTGAAAATCGGCTCCTCATGCTGTCACCTTTTTCGCTTCCCCCCGTGTCCCCCTCCAATTCCCACCGACCACAGCTCCACGAGCTCTCGGCGCAGGGCGTGTCAAAGTCGTACGTCTTCCGTGGTACCAAGGAAATCACTGCCAAACAGATCCAGGAGTTGCTGGGTCTGAACCCGGGGCAAGCCCCGCGCCCAGCCGCCGGAGGCCCCGCTGGTCAACCTGCCAACGGCGCCGCTCGCTTTCTCCAGACGGTCAGCGAGTGTGACATGGCCCTGACCGAGATCATTGAAGAACTGCAGCCCGACCCCTGGCCCGTGGCCCAGGGCAAGCGCCCGCAGCGATCCACCGGTGCCGCCCTCAGCGTCGCTGTCAGCCTCATGGAATCGACCTACCCCAACACGGCTGGTCGCATCATGACGTTTATGGCCGGTCCGCCCACTCACGGCATCGGTCAGGTGGCTACGGACGACTACAAAGACACCATCCGCACCCACCACGACATCTTCAAGGACACGAGCAATGCCAAATTCGTCAAAAAGTCTTCCAAGTACTTTATGGACCTGGCGCAGCGCGCCGCCAAGAACGGACACATTATTGACATTTACGCGTGTGCCTTTGATCAGACTGGTCTGATGGAGATGCGCTTTTGCACCAACTTTACAGGGTGAGTGGGTGTTTGGCCCCCTTCGTATATATTTTTTTTTCTTTCTTTTTTTTTTTTTCTTCTTTCCTTTTCTCTTTTTTCTGTCCCTCTTTTGCTCGTTCTCACGCTTTTCTCATTCATTCGGCTCTCACATCTCGGTTGTTGATTTGTTATGTGTGCTCCTGTGGGTGGTTGTGTGACGATGACGTGCGATAGCGGTCACATGATCATGGGTGACTCGTTCAATACGTCGCTGTTCAAGCAAACCTTTCAGCGCGTTTTCAGCAAAGACACGTCGGGCAACTACAACATGGCCTTCAACGCCACGTTTGAAGTCAAGGTGCCCGCGCAGCTCAAGGTCTGCGGCATGATTGGCCCTTGCATTTCCAATGAATCCAAAAACGCCTCGGTCAGCGAGCAGGAGATTGGCGTCGGCAACACCACTGCGTGGAAGATTGCTGGCCTGGACAACAACACCACCCTCTCGGTCTTCTTTGAAGTGGCCAATCAGCCCGGTCAAGCCATTCCCCAGGGCCAGCGCGCCAACATCCAGTTTATTACCCACTATCAGCACCCCGATGGTACTATGCGTCTGCGCGTCACCACCGTGGCCCGCAACTGGGCCGACGTGGCCATCAACAAGCAAATGATTGCTGCTGGCTTTGACCAGGAAGCCTCGGCAGTCCTCATGGCTCGACTGGCGGCCGTTCGGTGCGAGACTGAGGACGCCGCTGATGTCCTCCGCTGGATCGATCGCATGCTGATTCGTCTTTGCCAAAAGTTTGGCGAGTACCGCCCTGAGGATCCCAGCTCCTTTGCGCTGCAGTCCAACTTTACTCTCTACCCGCAGTTTATGTTCCATCTGCGCCGCAGCCAGTTTTTGCAAGTCTTCAACAACAGCCCCGATGAAACGGCGTACTACCGCAACAAGCTCACCAAGGAGGACTGCATCAATAGTCTCACCATGATTCAGCCCACGCTGACCGCCTATGCCTTCAACCAGGAGCCCGAACCCGTGCTGCTCGACTCTTCCAGGTGTGTTGGCCGATGACTGCTTTGGCAACCTTTTGCCTGCTGTCTGCGCGCACGAGTGACTCTCACCACATCCCCTCTCGCTTTGCTGTGTAGCATTACGGAGGAGCGCATTCTGTTGTTGGATGCCTTCTTTCAGATTGTCATTTTCCATGGCGATACCATCGCCAATTGGCGCAAGGCCGGCTTTCACGAGCAGCCTGAGCACGAGGCTTTCCGCCAGTTGCTCAAGGCGCCGCGCGAGGACGCGCAGGAGATTTTGCTGACGCGCTTCCCCATGCCGCGTTACGTTGACTGTGATCAGGGTAGCTCTCAGGCTCGCTTCCTCCTCTCCAAGGTCAATCCCTCGCACACCCACAACAACATGTACTCCCAAGACGGCGGTGCTGCCGTGTTCACTGATGATGTCAGTCTGCAAGTCTTCATGGAGCACCTCAAGAAGCTGGCAGTAGTCAAGACTTCATAGAGAAGCGCCAGGAATTTGAAACTGTTTTTGACTCTTGATTGTGTCCTTTTTCTTTCTTTCTTCTTTCTTTGCCTCGACTCTTCCTGCTCGAATCAAGCGTGCCTTGATCGTTGACCGATTGGGAGGCGTGGGATTGCTTGTGCTCCGCTGCTGGCAAAAGGCTCCAGTCATGTCCACATGCTGGCCGTTGACTTTACCATTCATCCAAAAGCCAATCGATAAAAAATTGCAGTTCCTGGAGCAGCCCTCTTGCTCTGCTTGTCCTCCACCAGACTCATGCAACCCATTCAGACATCGTTGGGGCTCTCTCTCCCTCCCTTTCCCTTGAATGCCCTCTCTCTTCCTACTCCTGAACCTTCTCTCAAACTCTCACACTCGAATTCTCTCTCAAAAAATCAAAAGAATTGTCATCATTTTTGTGCCTGAAGAGCGCCACATGCCCACCCGAAGATGAAGACGTTCGCGCTGATCAGGTTCGGTCGCGGCATGAGAGCCTGAGGATGCAGGGTTCGTGATGGTTTGGTGCCGTAGGCTTACCGTGTGGTGCACTCTGTGCTTGGCCCGTGCCCCTTCCTTATTCTGGCCCATAGCGGTGGGAAGGACAGCTGCCACAACCTGCTGCACTGCGTCGCCAATGGCCACCAGGTGGTGGCACTCGCCAATCTGGCGCCGCCCGAGTCCATCGGTACGTGCACCGCTGTTACCACTTGAAAACGGAACGGCAGTGCCAATGTCTTTTTGATCTCCCGCCCGTCTATCAGTCCAGCCATGCCTGCCCCGCCCCGAGGCAGCCTCACGATGTCCTCGTTTCAGATGAGCTCGACAGCATGATGTACCAGACAGTTGGCCACGAGGGCATTGAGCTGCTGGCCGCCGCGCTGGACAAGCCCCTCTACCGCGAGGCCATCGTCGGTGCCTGCGTGTCTGACACAAAGGTTGGCAACCTTGTCTCTGGCAACGTGCACGGTTCCATTCTTCCCAGCTTTATTCATAAAGCGCCGCTACTGCTTACCTGGCCGGTCAACCATCCGTGGAACCGGCTCACAGACGTACCATCGTGCCGAGCGGGATGAGGTTGAAGACATGGATCGCCTCTTCCAGCGAGTGATCCGATCCCATCCTGACGTCGAGGCCGTGTCTGTTGGCGCCATCCTCTCCGATTACCAGCGAACTCGCGTCGAACAGGTCGCGGCCCGCCATGGCATTACCGTCCTCAGCTACCTGTGGCAACGCGACCAGGCCGAGCTCCTTGCCGAAATGGTCGCAAGTGGCCTTGAAGCCATTGTCATCAAGGTTTGTCGCCATGTCAATGCGGCGTGCTTGCAGGCTTTTCTTCCCTTCACCCTCTTTGATCATCTCTTCCTCAACTTTGCGAGCACTGCCATAGGTTGCAGCTATGGGCCTGATGCCTCGCAAGCATCTGGGCCAAACGCTCGGCATGCTCAGCCCAACCCTTCACAAGCTCCATGACCTGTACGAGGTGCATGTATGTGGTGAGGGTGGCGAATATGAAACCTTTGTTCTGGACAGTCCGCTGTTTACACGTCGTCTCGTTGTCGAGGAATCCACCACCATTATCCATTCCGACGACGCCTTTGCTCCCGTCGGCTACCTTCAGTTGCAACGACTCGCGCTTGTCGACAAACCGGGGCACGTCGTTCCTGATGCCGACGCCGCCCGTACTTTGCTGGCCGATGCTGGCTTTGAGAACCCGGTCCCCACCATTGCCCCAACGGTTCCCGAACCACCTGCGTCTGCTTGCCTCACTGCCGTTCCCTTGGCCCCGCTGGATGCCACCACACTTGAACAAGAGTCATCGACAAGTTCCGCTGAATTGGACAACGCTAGTGCCAGTCCAACCTCCACAGAGCCCTGGTCCATCTGTGTAGACGGCGGTGCCCTTGCAGATCCTCAAGAGGCGATGCAGTCGGCCCTGTCACATCTTCGTGCTGTGCTCGAAGCCCGAGGCTCCAGCCTCTCCGCCATCTGCCATGTCCAACTCAATGTACGCGACATGACCAAGTTTGCTGCCATCAACAGCGTATACCTTCAAGCCTTTGGTCCGTCGATACATGCGCTGCCTCGTTGTTCTGGATCCTTGATCATCACGGTTGCCCACCTTGTTTCTTATACCATGCTCTATACGCTCTCCTTGATCCTCACTTTCCTTTGTCAAATCGCTGGTGTAGATGTCGAACCGCCGTCGCGAGTTTGTATCCAGGCCTACCAAGCCAGTGCCGTGCAGTTGCTCGCCACTGTCGAGCCAGTCGCGCGCAGCACTCTGCATGTTCGAGGTCTCTCTTACTGGGCGCCTGCCAACATTGGCCCGTACAGTCAGAGCTGCGAGGTAAGCGCCTGCACGGGCTTGCGAATGGAAAAGTCAAGGTACAAGGCGCACAGCTCACTGACGTGCTCGTTTGAGCCCAACTCCAGCACAATGGTACCGTGGAGATGGCAGGCCAAATTGGTCTTAACCCAGCCTCGCTACAGCTCTACCCCTCGGCGTTCGCGCAGGTTAGGCCCTTAACCCTTTCCATCCTGCTTGTTGAAAAGAAAAAGCGTCAGCTGGCCGCGGTCATCCAGGGTGGACATGACAATGCCATGTGTGTCGCTCGCCGCATTTTGTTGCAAACCATGCTTCACCTCAGTGACATTTCCTTGACCTGACTTTTTTTGCAGAGCTCTGCAGCTCTGCAGCATGTACAGCATGTGCGAGCGTGCATGGGTGTCGCAGGTGCACCTGCGGTAGAATCCCTTTGCTTTGTTGATGAGGCAAATCTGCCAGAGGCTCTGCGTGAGGTCTGAGGCGCTGGTTTGCAATGTTTAGGCTGAACAAGCATATGCAGGTTGTGCGGCTTCTCTCACCATGCTCATTCATGCATTCCTAAATCCCAGAGTTGGCGGAGTGCTCAAGAGCACAATCTACCCGTGCATGCCTTTGCTGCAGTCCCAGGGTTGCCCAAAAGCGCACAGTTGGAATATCATTACACTTTCCATCGCGATGCCCATGCCCTGCCTTGCTCTGCTGATGAGAGTGTGCAGCTGCACCAAAGTGGTCCCTCGGGTGTTGTTTTTGCTGCCATCACTGTTCCAGGTGCGCTTGACGTGACTCATGGAGAGCCTCATTGTGAGCCGCATTGTCGTGGGCGACACCCTCACTTTTTTTTTCTTTTTTCTTTTTTCCATCACAAACCTCGCAGGCACGAATGCGGACCAGTGCCTTGCTCAATTGGAAACGGCCTTGAATCACGTGTCAGATGTGGCGGGACGATCGCTCCTCCAGGCCCGAGTGTGCGTCGCCAGCCCAGAGCCGACTTGGCGGCATCGCGTACAGAACCTGCTGGCAGTCCGCTTTGCTGGACCCCCAGCACTCATCACTTGTACGGGAGGTATTTGGGATGCACAACTGCGCCCTGCTGCTTGCTTTCTGCAACTGCGGCTGGCAGTTCCACGCACAACCCTGTCATCTGGCTCTTCCTCCCCTGAACCGTGAATGCATCATGCTGTGCACGGCAGTCAACTGCACAAAAAAAAGACTTTGCATGCTCAATTCAAGCCTTGGCGAAAGTCGAAAAGATACCATAAATTATAATATGATTTTGCGCATCAAGGCAACTAAGGGGCAAAAGCAAGGGCAGATGCCTCGAACCACCTATCGACAGTGAAGGCTAAGCTTCGGCCGTGTCGTCGGTGACCTCTTCCTCAATGTAGTTTGCGGGAATGAGTCCTGATTGCGTGGTGCGCACGTTCTTGCCAAAGAACCAATCGTCGCTCACAGCCTTGAGGTTGACCAGCACGTCACCTTTCTTAAAGCTCAGATTGTCCGCCTCTTTTGATTTGTGTGTGTACTTGGCTACCCAGCGTTGATCGGCACCTATCCACGCACGCTGCACAGGTCGAACGAAGTGGATGCAGAGTCAGAGCACAAAAATGGGCCTGCAAACATGAGGACTTAATCATTCAAAACAAACCTTGGTGCTTGGTGAATCAGGAGTGGCGAGGGCCTGGCCTGCAGGAGCATGGAGGGTTGGTTTGGGAGCAACCGGAGGTGGTGCACTGCGCACAAGAGAAGTCTCGACTGGCTTGGTGGATGTTTCAGGCGCCAGGTTCGGCTCGAGTCGGATGGCGTTGAATTGAAGCGTGTGTGACGAGCGTGTGGGTGGACCGGCCGTGCCCACGGGGCCCGCCATGGGTGCTGCACCACGCGGGCCTGCTGCCGCGAAACTGGTTGATCGGTGACCAGCCGCACGCGCCAAAGGCGGCGTCCTCGGTGCCGACTTGGAGGCCCCTGTGTTTGCATCAACAGAAATATACGACAGGCTAGTCTCCACAGAGTCACCCAAGGACGCCGCTTCGGAAGTTGTAACACTGACGCTTTCCAGTTCCACAGGCTCATCAACCGCCGCAAACTGGGACGGAGCAGCGAGTACAGGGGCCCACTCACTACCTGTGGCCCCACTGCTCGGGGCGGGTTCGCCATCCAAGTCGAGTGCATCAATGTCTGTCGTCACCAACAGACTGCCGCCGTTTGCACTGCCCTCATCGGCTGAAGACTCTGCTTCTTGATTGTAACGCTGATTTCGCCACCATCAAGAAGGACCAATAGTGGATCACATGCCAAGATCAGCACGATCCACAAGGCATATGGTTGGCCAGATCCCTGTCTCTGCTTTCTTCTACCTGGCCACATCAATCTCCGAGCGATTGACACCTTATGTACAGGGGCATGCTCACCTTGCTGCCGAGTTTAAGGACGCCACGCAGACCGGACTTTTCCTTTTTGGACCCGTGTACCACTGGCGAGGAGGTCCCATCTGCTTGCAAGGCCGAGACGGTATTACGGCGTTCGCTAGACTTGTCGAGGCCGGTGCCACGTGCATTGGTGCCGGACGATGTGGCCCGCCGCGACCGCGCGTCAGGCTCTTCTTCCAAAACCTGAAAAGCAGGACCGAGGTTGCACAGCAAAGTTGGTAAAAGAGGCTCAGCCACTGGAGCCCGCTCAACCCTCACATGGAAACATGACCAACCGTATCTACCATGTCTCCAACGTCATCTAAGCTAGCAGTGGCTAGGCCGCCGTGTCCACGCTCCATTTCGCTCAACCAAACGTCCGAGTCAATGGCTTGGCTACGACGGAAACTGTTGCGGAAGAGCTTGGTCATGCCTTTCTTGGCACGCAACGTGACGGTCATGCGCCGCTTGCCCGGGTCACCCTCCTCCGCCGGGGCTGCAGCTGCCGAACTTGTTTGATCGGTTGCACGATGAAGATGTCGCCGAGCCGCAGCCTTGTAGACCTGATTGCCGGCCTCCATCGCCAGGGACATGGCTGCTTTGTAGTTTTCAGCCGCCTAAACTCGGAAAAAAAAAAAAAAAAAAAAAAAAAAAAAAAAAAAAAAAAAAAAAAAAAAAAAAAGAGTTAGTATCGAATGTGCGACAAGTTCCTGTCGCGCTGGCGGTCCTTGTACTGCTTGTATGATTTTTATTTTTATTCTCTCAGCTGCGCTGTTCGATGGTTCATACCTGTCGGCGGTCTGACAGACGCTCGTAGATGGTGCCCAAGCGATCGTAGCCCGTGAATAGCATGGCCGTGTCACCCAGGTCCCGCATCAGCGTGATGTAAGATTCGAAATGCTGGGCGCTCTTCTCAAAATCAGCAAAAGCCTGCCAGCAATCAATAATGCCCGTCACCCCCGCTGAGCGTGCATGTATCAAGGGGGCCCTAGGTAGCGGGGCAAACGGGACGCACCTCATATACGGAACCTAGATGACGATGAGCCTGAGCTTGGCCACGACGGTCGCCGCGCGCCTCGTGTAGAGCCAATACGCTCTCAAACAGAGCAATGGCCTGTGCACAAAATGGCCGAAACGATCAGAGCTGGAGAAAGTCATCTTCACCGAGACAAATTGCCCAGGATCCACCCCTCAACCCACCTCCGTGTAACGACCTTGCTCTCGATGGCACACGCCCAAGCGGGACATGTAGCCAGCTTGGGCCACGACATCCTCTTCCTGCCAAACCACCGGAAACACATGATGAGGCGACGACACATCGATACAAGCTCCTTCATGAATGCCAAAGCAGCAAAGCACCCGCGCGCAGACGAGCTTTGGCACAATGAAACCAGAAATGCGATCGGTCAATTGCACGTGCCTTTTGAGCCACAGCAATAGACTGGGCAAGAAAATGAGCAGCCGCAACATAGTCGCCAGCACGCTCGTGCATGTGAGCTAAATGGGCCGCCACGTGTGCCAAGCCTGAGGGGTCTAGCTGCTTGTCAATAGGGGCCAGCACTTTGCGATAGAAGCTGACGGAGGCATTGAAGAGACCGCCGTGTCGAGGCATGCCGTCTTGTAAGGCACAACCCTGCGCCAATCGTGAATAAATTAAACCTAAATCCACCCCAAATTCCAAGCAGTCGGTCAATAAGATGGTTGGGGAATGGACTGGTTGGTAGTGAGCTCTTTGCTGATGAAAAGATGATTGGAAATCACAGTTACCTATCGAGTCCAAGGCTTGAGCTTGTAAGAAAGCGTCGCCCTCGCGTTGAGCTAACGCGTGCTGCTTTTTGAAGCATTCTAAAGCTTTGTCGTAGAGGTCCAGCGCTTGCAGCGCAACACCAATGTTGGCGTAGGCATGGGCCTGCACGGGAAAAATCCCACACCGAGTGTGAGGTGTGCAGGCGTGAGGTGCGTGTGTCGTGTTTGTGTTTGTAGGCTTGCTGCACCAGCGAGCAAGTGAGTCCAGCATTGAATGGCCGGTGTTAAATGAGAAGCAGTGGCGAACATGCGTTCCACACCTGGTCGGCGCCTCGGCCCGACTGCTTGGCTGCAGCCAGCTGGCGTTTGTAGTGATACAACGCCTTCTCATATTGCCGCAGCATATAACAACAGGAACCCGCCTGAAAGCCACAGCCCGGCGAATATGGATGGAGGGAAGTGTGAGCACACCTGTGGATAGATGACGCTTCTGTTCACTCCGCCATCATGTCCCGGCCAAATCGCCGAGTCCATCGCAAAAACCAAAGGTGTTGGCGCGTACCTCAACGTGAACGGCCGAGACCTTTTGCAAATCCACGCCTGTCGTGAGCTTGAGAGCTTTGGAGAAGCACTGCAGTGCACGCTTAAAATCACGCCGTTTGGAGAATTGGGCCCCTGCTCGAACAAACTCTTCAAAGGACTCGGGCTTCTTCCGCGAGTTGGTGGCCATTGTGAATCGGTCACGTGTGCTCTCGCCGGAAACAGTAGTGCCCAACCAAGCTGGACCCAGCTCAAATCTCGTGATGGCACACGCTCGCCAGCACCTTCTCCCTTGCCACCAACAACACTGCTCACCCGCCACGCCAACACGAGAACCGTGCTTGTACGCGTGTCGTATGTGCAAGGAGTGAGCTGGGAGAGCGAGCTCGGATTCTGAAAAAAAAAAAAAAAAATGGAGCTCACCCCGCCCCCTCTCTCTCTCTCTCCGGTACTTTTCAACATCATGAAGAAATCATAACCTCAAAAAGCTAAGAAGATGAAGAAAGAAAATGAGAAGACGACGCTGCCAGATGTATTTAGGGTTTTCGTGTTTCGCGGGACGACATTGCGCGCGCACGCTTGGTGACCCGTCGTTCATCCCATCATGGGCTCGTGCTTTTCCTCAGGCAGCGGCAGCGGCGGCCGTGTGGATCAGGTGAGGTCGTCGCTGGTTCTGCACTCACCCTATTGAGGGGGTGATGGGCTTGGACTGACGCCAGGAATCACGAGCGCAGGCCACGCAGGAGCAGCGACGCCAACAGCAATTGGCGGCCGCTGAGAAGCGCCGTGAGGCCGCCTCTGCGCGAGGATTGGCCGACCCCAAAGGAGCCAACAAGCGCATGGCTGAGGCACGAGCGCGCCAGGAACAGTCTGATCAAGCGGGTGCTGACACCCCTTTAAAATGGCGCGTTAGCTGAGATGCTCCCCTCTCAGTGATCGTGTGAGACCCGTCCCCAGCGTTGCCGCGCGGCGCATGTCAGTGGGCCATTTGGTGAAGGTGGTTTTGGCTATGCTCCTGTATTCCCACACCGCTACCCCATTCAATAACTGAATCCCCAACCTCTAATATCCGATCGCAGCTCTGAGCCTTTCTCTGTATCACGCATGTGCAGACACACCCTGCCACTGACACAGGGCCAAGCCAGACACGTCTCTTGTGGCAGTTTCCATCGGCTGTACATTGGGATCCCAATTTGGGCTGGAAGCAGCATACACGCCGTATCTATTGGTCACATCAACAGGCAAGCACGCCACACACCAATTCCCTTTCATTCTCTTTTCACACACACATACTCTCTCTCTCTCTCTCTCTCTCTCTCTCTCTCTCTCTCTCTCTCTCTCTCCCTCTCTCTCTCTCTCTCTCTCTTTTTCTCCTCTCGCCCCGAACATGATAGAAATGATGGAAGACAACAGAAGGGAAAAGCGTTGGCTTGATAGGACGCAGTCCACTGTGTATCAATATCGTCTATCCAAATGAAGGCAGTGACAGTCTGATCAGGTACCCAGCTGTCAAAGAGGCCCATTACGCGTTGGAGTCGTCCACCTCCCCGGCCGGCTTGAGGGAGCGCGGTGGTAGGACAGGCGGCGTGCTCTCTGCCAATGCTGGCAGTGGCATGATGGGCCGACTGGAACTGCGCCCTGGGCGGACTGGTGTGCCCCCACCAGACGGGATGGGGCTGAATGTCAAGCTGCTGAGACTTGAGCGGCGGTCCTCATCTGTCAACATTGAAGGCATGTACATATTGGCTGAGTGTCACCTATGCCAGCCTGACATTCACAATTAGCGGACTCGGCGGTCACCTACCCGAGTTGATCGAGTCTGAGCCGCTCTCCGTGCGCAACCGCACTTCGGTTTTGGATTTCTGCATGATTCGGGTCCAGGGGAAGACATGAGCTGATGTTTGCAGAGAAGGAGCAAGCAACATACGAGTCGTGTCTGAATGGAATCGAGGGGACATACCCGCACAAATGCACGAATTAAAAAGTCCTTGCGGGCCTTGATCTCAATCATGCTCTGTGATCCCGCCAGCCAGGTACGGGCAATTCCAAGAGGGTGAGACAACTGGACTGGATGAATGACACACACACCCCACCTGCAATGTGTGCACGACCAGTGCCCGTGCCTGCGGGCGGGCGACACTAAACATACCGTCACGGAGGATGCATACGAGGGCAATGCCTCTTTCTCCATTCCACGCGGTTCGATACGCAGTGAAAGTTGGTAGATGGCATCCTATTGACAGACAGATACATCCGGCAAACAAGCATCAGAAGCTGCATGCAAAGGCGCGACCCTATTCGGAGCTTGGCACTCACGTCGAAATTTTGAATGTCCTTGCTACTCGCATCGGGTGATGGAAAGGGAATGGCCTCCTCGCTGTTGGCAATCGTGGTTGGCAGGTCAATCAAAAAAGTCTACGCAGCGTCGATTTAGGGTGGGAGCCGCCGTGAGGGAAAGCACGTGCGCCAAGGCCCGGGTGAGAGCCAAAGAAGGAAACAAACGGCTGGGGACACGACACCAACCTGCAGCAAGGGCCACTCAGCCAATACATATTGTTGATTCTGATACTGTTGAATGGTACCCGTCGTTCGCGCCAGCAGCCGCCTATGCCCGCCGACAAGTAAGCTCGTGGCAATCAGCAGGATCGAGGCCCGCACAGGGTCTCTGATCAACAATTGAAGCGACCCTCTGACTGCTTCTTCTTTTTTTAAACAGCCCGCATTGCCTTCTCCACATACCGCTTGCTAAAGTTGATCAGAGGCACGCCGCCCAGCGGTGACGGGATGGTATCGCTGGAGCCCTCCTCGATGAAAGTCATGTCGGTGAGGTACATGCCAAAGAATGGGATCTTGGGCGCGGGCGCGTGCTCAATGGCCTGCCGAAGGCGACTGTAGTTGGTACCACCCATCAGCTGCTCCACGCATTCGTCGAAAAGAGCGCGTCGACGAGGGTTGACTTCGGCCCATGCGTGGTTGAGCCGGCGCACTGCTGCGCTGTTCAACGCCGATACCACTTCCATCATGCCGTTGAAGTTGTTGAGGGACCGCAGCTCCTTCAAGATCTATGACGCCAAGGTCACGGAGCATCAGAATTTCAAGCAGCAAATGAGCATGAACTTTCAGAGCTCTCAACACCCTTGGTCTGCAGCACGCAGCACGAAAGGCTCATTTGCCATGGCAACAAAGGGGGTACAGAGTACCCCCGCGCGCTAGCCCACCTCGACGATCATGGAGATCAAATCAACACGCTCGTTGAGGTTTGCAGTCTCGACAATGCAGCGCGTGAGCCAGCGCGTGACCAGCGTCGAGCGCACGGTCATGTTCAGCACATTTGGTGCATGTTGCCACTTGTCACGCCGGGTCCACATCAGGCCGACCAGCTCCGATGGCCAGATGCGCCTGATCATACGAAACAACAGTTTAGTTTCGAGTACACATTTGGTTGTCAAATCACGCGTTGAAAGCGGTCTGTCTTACTTGTACAAGTGAAACTCGATGATGGTCATCTGGCGCGCGACCTCTTGCGGATGAAAATTGAGCAAGTGACGCTTGAAAGCGGTCGTGTCAGGAATTAACATGGCCACCGGTGGCGCGTCTGACCCTGCTTTCAAAAACCGCTGCACACCCACAAATGAGCGAGAGTGCCTGCCGTGCGCCCGATGCCAGGGACTTGTGCCGGCAGATCCATGCCGGTTGTGTCCCGTGCGCGCGCTGACGTACCATCTCCTTCTCATTTCCCTTGAGCTGGCGCTTCACAGCTCGAATGATGGGCTGACAGGCCCGAGCCATCACGGGATCTTGGCGGATGACCTCCTTGGAAAAGTTGAGAAGGCGCTTTAACAAATCCGTCGACTGACGCGACACAACCACCGGATCACTGGGCCGGGCCTGAGGCGCTTGAAAATCATAAAAATGCTTCTCGACCCATTGCTTGAGAACGTTGATCACACGCAGACGCACTGGGCTTCGGTACCTGTGCAAGACAGATGGGCGGAATGAATGAGTTCAGCAAAGGTCGAATGCTGCTGACAGCTACCCGCTGTTGTACCAAGCAGCAACGCCTCAACTTCACAAAAATCAAGAGAATACACCATATGGCTGTGCATGGCAAGCAAGAGTTGACCCACTGTTTGTGAAAAAAACGAGCCTGCTTGGCATCGTGGCGCACTGCTTCAGCATCTGGCACATCGTAGCGCTCCAACAGGAGCTCCAGTAGCCGCTCGGAATCACAGAAGGAACGGTAGGTCGTCAGAAAGTGGCGCAGATACTCGGTGTCGGTGTGTTGAGGATGAGTCAGCAACTCGACCAGCTTTTCCAATGTTCCAGCCTGTTCCCAAAACGACACAGTATAAACCCGGGGCCGTTAGAGATCAGGTGCCCAGCCAAAAACAACGTCCTTTGACGAAGGCAGCACAATCGATCGCTCATAGCGAGCCAAGACGAGAGACAGCACCTTGACGACGCGAAAGCCACGCGCTTCCGACTCCTTCTCATCAAACAATATGTTGGCCTCGCTATCGGGAGTGGCGAATCGATACTCTCTGCGCGATGGTGGATGGAAGAGTGAGAACTCTACTCGGTCCATTCAAACCCGGAGCTTATCCTCCAAAAAGCTGTCAATAGACAGATGGCCGAGCATTCGCGCGAGCGCATCAATGAAAGAACGTACAGCGGTGAAGGAAGCAAGGCAGCCATCTGACTCGCAAAATCCTGTTGATTGAGCGTGAACATGCGTTCCACAAAATTGTGGATTGTCTTGTGAGAGAGGGCCTTGAACCATTGGTCCCATTCCGCCGGCGGAGCCTCGATGGTGATCTGCAAGCAAACGGGGTAGTTTGCAAGCCGATGCCAGTTTAAGACGGCAAGACAAGCAGAGAGCAGGGTGAGCTGCTGCAAGAGTCCACGCCAAACATCATTGATAAAATGCCGGGGTACTTCCGAACCTTGCCCTGGGTGGTGACCACAACGAGTTGGACGGGACTGGCAGAGCTGTCCACCACAATCACTGGTTCCTCGACCAAATGATAAAGCTCCTTGAGCTTTTCTTTGTCGGGACCCTGCCGACATGGACGCACCAGGAGAACCCGGTTGATGTGAACCCGGAGCCCACGCGCTTGGTTCAAAAACATGACCCTTCCTCTGCACAGTCTTGACCCCAATGTGACCATAAGGAGAGCAACGTACGCCCTTGGTTGCCACAATCAAGTCTTCAAAGACATAAAGGGTGCGATCGTTGCGCTTCTACTCGTTCCGCAAAGTATGCCCCGGTGTGAAGTTTCACACGCAATCCAGACCAGCTGCTCAACAGGAAGCATCTGGGAGAGGCTCGACGAGCAAGCGCTCATCTCAAAACGGACCTTGGAGCTGGTTGCACAAACGATGGCGCGTCCAGTATACAAGAGCTCGCTTGTGTGATGCGGTAAGGAAAGTCCTTTGTGACCACAATCAGTGCCGCCGCCGTTGGCCCACGAGCAGAATGTACAAGAAAGGAAGATGAGTTGATCAGTACGACGAGAGTGCAACAAGCAGACGCACAATCGAATGGCACACCTTCGATGCGTCGTTCCAACCCCTTGGCCACGCTAAGGCATTGGCGGCGAACAACAGAGGGAAACTGCAAAAAGTTTTCACGATCGCGCAGAAAGCTGTATTCTTCGCCCGTGACGTCCCGGGTGGCTGGTCGCAGATTCTCCAGAGCCTACCCAGAGGAATGGCCCCGGTGCATCAGAGAGGGGGTCTGACAAATCAAAAAACATGGCAATGCCGGCCCCATGCAAGACAGATAAAACAACGACATACGGTGCGTAGACGTTGGAGCTCGTGTTGGCGGCCTTGCAATTGACCGCAATGCACGAGAGCCTCGACGGCTTCCACGTGATGTTTTAGATGTAGAGCAGGTGCCACCAAGAGCGTAGGGAGGTGGAATTGCACGGCTGGTAGCCACAAGGGATCGCGCTCATTGAGCTGCCGGCGCAGCGCAGCATCTTGCATGAGTTTTTGGTGCTCCTGCAGCTTCTGTCCCACCTCCGAGATGTAGGTGAGCAGGGCTTGGTATTCAAATGTCTATGCGTGGCAAATTGGACTTGAGCTGTGAGACGAGTTAAACTAAGCGGAACAAGCCATCCTTTTCTGCGTCGCGACCAGGAACAAGCATGGCCAACAGACCAGAGCCGCTTCCTCGAGAAATTCACCGACGCGCGGCCGTGCGCTGCTGGCTTCCAAAGCGGTCTCCAGACCCACGACCATATTGAAGCTGAAGTCGCGCACGGAAGAGATGGTATCCAACAAGGAAACGACTTCCGCCTCGAGGACATCATCCAGCGTTGTTAGCGTGCGCTGGTAGACCTGAGACATGAGCTCCATCTTGTGCATAAAAGTCTGCTCGACTGCCAGCATGTCGCGAACGGCGTCGGGATATTTGAGGTCGAGCCGCGCGGTGGTTCCATCGGGCGGCCGCTTGACCTTGTCGAAGAGCAGGCGCAGCATCTATGCCAACCATGACCGTGAAGTGGTGCCTGGAGCGGAGGCGGGCGCAGAAGGGTCGGGTTCCCATTGCAAATCTCGGAACCCTTTTGTCCACCGGCCGGTGTGTGCAGAGATGTTCGTGTGGCTGACTGACCGCATCGCCCGAGAGGGCCGTGTTGAGAGATTCCGCGGAGATGGTGCGACCATTGCAATGCTCCACAAAGTTGCCCGCCAACTGTATTGATGAGACCGAAAAGATGTTGGTGGTGAGAGAGTGAGTAGGCCCAGGACACGCGGCGTCAAATGGCGAGGAGCAGAGATGAATGACAAAAGGACGAGCGGACCTTGAGAACGTCGGCAGCAATGTAGTCGACGGCGACGAGGAGAAAGAGGGTGACCTCGATGGACACGGCCCGACCAGTGCCGTCGACATCTTCTTTGTTGATTTTGGCATGAATCTGGTGATGGGGAGCCGGGCAGAACCAATGCAGTTGATAAGAGTTACTAAATGGGGAGCCGAGCGCCGGCTGCGCAAGAAACGAGCGCGCTGACGCGGTCCATATGCCACGGAATACAACACAAACCTTTTCGGCGGCAAACTCTGTTCCGATTGGCCCTTTTTTCTTGAAGGTGCTAAACTCGGCTTCGGCTCGCTCGGCTGCCTGCAGCGCCCATTCAGCGAGATCTTCGGGCATGACATAGTCGATGGCACGCTGGCAATCTTCAATGTTGGCCGGAAACCGGCCCAAGGCCGACGCCAAGTGTGCAAATAGACACAGTAGTTGCTGGTCGAATCGCTTCAAGGCCGGGCTCTCCAGCGTGATGCCAGGATGCACTTGCTTAAGAATCTAGACCGAGCCCATCAAGGTCAGATCGATGTGGCCAACGAAGGAACGTGTAGTGAGCCAAACTCTGGCCCAGCTAAAACCCTCTCGCGCCCAACGCTCACCTTTTTGATGCCAGTCTCGAAAAGGCCATGCCATCGAGCCTCATGATCTTGCCAGTTGTACGACATGGCAGTGATGATGGGCCCTGGCAGGGCAACAATAACTGAGACTGTGTCAGCAGCTGCGCGACGCGTCCCCAAAGAAGAAGTAAGCAAAGGTGGATGGCGATGACCGCTGCCCACGGGCCGTTCCCCAGCCCTTGGCTAAGCAAGTTTTATTGACGAATTTCAAACCCTAGTTTTCATCCCGAAAAACATTAACCATGAGCACGGCACACGCCCCCCAGCCACCCGGTCCCACAAATCAAGTCGCCCCATCTCTGAGCTGCATCATTGCCCCTTGCCTGGTGCTCAAACACCTACTCTACCCAAACACACACCCACACACGCGCACGCATCCATATTATCCACCCCTCTGCGCGCGCGCCTCGCGGCGAGCTCACTCGAGATCCGCTCGGCACAACGTACCACTTGCCACCACGAGAATGTAAAATACTTTTTATTCCTTGGTGATGGTTGCAACTGTTTGACGCTGGTGGTCGAAAGTAAATTACTTTAACTCCCGTGCACAGCTGGATATGGGTGCATAGGTACCAACTGTTATTGGCCTTGACTCCTTTCCCGCGTTTGCTCTTAATCCCAAGAAAAGGCTTCTCTCTCAAACTCTCTCAAACTCTCTCAGATTCTCTCAAACTCTCTCAAACTCTCTCATACTCTCTCACATCCTCTCAAACTCTCTCATACTCTCTCACATCCTCTCAAACTCTTTCATATCCTCTCAAACGTTCTCAAACTCTCTCTCAACCTCTCTCAACCTCTCTCAACCTCTCTCAACCTCCCTCAACCTCTCTCTCTGTTACTCTATTTCGATCTGTCGTGAAGTTGGGCGTTGGCTGTGCTCGCTCGCCGTCGAGCTCGCCCTGGGTGCCCTCCTTCTCCCTTCTCCCTCCTGTCCCATTGGCGTTGATTTTGGGTGGATGATCACGTTGAAAGGCAGAGCATTCAAGGTTGATTCAATCTTGGTCAAGGGCGTCGTTGGCCACCAGGTATCATCCTTTTCGAGGCAGCTTGCCGTGTTCGGGTTCTGGCTGGCGCCCATGTCAAGTATCATGAGAGGGGTCAGCAGCCCATGCCTCGCGTTGGGAACGTTGGAAAAACCGCTCACCCCCCCCCATCTCACTGCTCGTACCTGTTCGTCCCCCTTTAGTTCTAAAACAGGCCAGCTCGCACGCCTCCGCCATGTCGCAACACGGGGCCAGCACCGCCGGCGGGCAGCGAGTGCATCGGACCCAATCCGCTCTGCAGCCCCGTCGCCCCACGCTCTTTAGCTACGGCCGATCCGATGACCGCTACCGCACCATCCGTCCCCTCAACCGCGAGTACAGCACCGAACAGGGCTACGTGAGCAACGGGTCAGTGCTCATATTGCGCGCTCGCGAGACACCACGTGCATGTGACGCCGCTCCCGGTCCAGCTCCTAGAGTTCTAACTCACACCTCACGATCCGCTTTGTCTTGCTGCACTGAAATGCAGCATCTCAACAAGCAAGTACACTTGGCTCACGTTGTTACCCAAGAACCTTTTCGAACAGTCAGTCTTCCCAGGCGCTACCCGTTGCCGATGCCGCTTCCCTCCCATCACCTTTGCTAACGATCATGCTCTGCCAGGTTTCATCGCTTGGCCAACGTTTACTTCTTGTTCATTGTCATTCTCAACTGGCTGCCCATGGTCCAGGCATTTGCCAAGGTGCGCTGGTGATTTTTCCGACCATCTGAGAATCCATGCCAGCCGCCTCTTCGCCTGACTTTGGAAGCATGCCACTTGCATGCCCCCTGCCTGTTCTCTTTTACTCAAACCTCACGCCACTTTTTCTCCACCTACCTATGGTTTACTTTGACAGGAAATCGCCATGCTACCTCTTCTCTTCGTGCTGCTCGTAACGCTCGTCAAGGATGCTTACGAAGACAGCCGTCGCCGTCGTCAAGACAAGGAGACCAACCGTCGCACCGCCATGGTTTACGACAAGTGCGCCTTGTTACTTGAAGCCAACTCTCATTGCAGAATTGTTGACAAGACCCGCTCACACAGATCATGCTGATTGTTGTAGAGGCACCGGCGAGTGGAACTCGGGGATCGAATGGCGCAACATCGAAGTTGGTGACATTATTCAGGTCAGGCTTTGGGACGGTGCTCCTGATCCAACCTGGCCGTCCCCGTGCTGTCCCAACGTCTGCCTCATCCGCATGTGCGATGTGTTTTGATGCTCAGCTGTACCAGAACGAAATCATCCCCGCCGATATGCTGCTGCTCGACACTTCCCATGAGGTACGCCCTCATTTCTTTCAATAGCCCATCCTTCCGCCCCACACCCTACCACGTCTTGCTCACTCCACTTGCTGGCCCCACAGGACGGCATCTGCTTTGTCGAAACAGCCAATCTCGATGGTGAAACCAACCTGAAGCAACGTCGTCTGTTTATGGAGGTGGGCCGTCAACCAATACATGCCCTTCACTCCCCCTTTTTATACCCCTGCCCTCAAGCTCATGCTTTGGGTTTTGTCCGCAGCGGACCGAGGCCTTTGATCCGGATGCTTTCTCCGAAACCTCACAAATCGAGTGTGAGCTCCCGAACAACAAGATTTACCAGTTCAACGGCACAATGTCTGTGTTTGCCAATTCGTTCTCCGCATTGCATGCCCCTCTCCTCCGCCACCACCACGCTTGGCCCTTCTCCTTTTCTCCGGCACGCTTGTTTGCGCCTGTGGCAACCTTACACCTGGTGCGTGCTCTGTTTCCTTTGCTACACTGCCCACGTTGGTCGATAGGAAAATCCGTGGGCACAAGGAAATTGCTTTGGACCAAAACAACATTCTGTTGCGCGGCTGCGTTCTCCGCAATACGCGTCGTGCCATTGGCATTGTTGTATATGCCGGCCATGACACCAAGTCCATGCTCAATAACACTGGCCCTCGCTCAAAGCGCTCAAAGCTTGAACGCGCCATGAACTACCAGGTAACGACGTGACATGAGGCACAGTGCTCCCCTGCTTACAAATCTGCCACTCACGTGTTTGCTCACTTTTGTTTCCTGCCATCTTTTCTTATTTTTTTTTTTTTTCCGCCAGATCCTGTACTGCTGCTTGATCTTGGTGGTCATGTGTGTTGCGGGTGGTATTGGTGCCGGTGTTTGGAAGTCGGACCGTGACTGGAAGGTCAGTTTCTCATCCGTGGCATTGTTGTGATTGTCTCAAGATCGCCCTGACCTCTCTGATTTGTTGTATTTTGGTTGGTTTCTTCTGCAGGACATTCTGTACATTCCAGGCAAAGACGACTACGCTCCCGCAGAAGAAGGCTTTATTCGCATCTTCACCTACTTTATCATCCTGCAGGTCTGCCTTTGCACCCCTCGGACCACTACAACCATCAACTCGACGCAAAGATACCTGACATCACAGCTCACTCGCATTTGCTACCATAGGTGATGGTGCCCATCTCCCTTTACGTCTCTATTGAGCTGGTCAAACTTGTGCAAGTTTACTTCATCCAGGAGGATGAGAGTACGTAAAGGCGCGATCTCATGTTATCTTTTTCTTTTGCTTTTGCTCCTCTTTTGCCTTCTACCAGGATGTCTGACCTAGCTCACACCCTCCCAATTATTTAGAGCTGGTCTATGTGGACCCTGCGAATCAGCACCGCCACAAGATGATGTGCCGTGCGCTCAACATTACCGAAGATCTGGGACAGGTCTGTCGTTGTTCATTTTTGGTTCACCAAGAATAGCTTTGCCTCACTCACTTAACTCGGGTGTCTTGCCCTGTCGCAGATCCAATACATCTTCTCAGACAAGACTGGCACTCTGACACAGAACAAAATGATTTTCCACCAGTGTTCCATCAACGGCATTCATTACTCACACCCTCATGATGACACGGCAACGTTCCAAGATGCTCGCTCAGTGCGTCATGCCCCCTTGATCTGTCTATTTTTTCCCCCCTCCAGCTGGTCTGGTTTTACTGTTTTGCGAGCTTGTTTCCCTTTCCTCTTTCTTATTGTCTGTCTTCTTGTCTCTGCGTCTGTTTTCCATCCTGTTGGTCTGGCTGCTGTAATCACCCCGACAACGTTCTGTTGAATAGTTTCCCTTGGACCAATCTCTTGTCGAAGACCTGGAGAAGGATGGCGGCTTTGACGATGACAGTACGTGCGGTGCACGGTTGCCAAGGCTATTGCACGTGACGCTCCGTTTCTTCTCCGTCCTTTTTCTTATGCAGGCTGGTTTGATTTCAGGTGTTTTGCACAACTTTATGCTCTCGCTTGCCATGAACAACACGGTGGTGCCCAACAACGAGGACGGCGAACGTATGTAGTTGTTGGCCTGGTGCATCGTGCGTTGGGGCGAACCGGCTGGGCACTCCAGCCTGTCCTTATCGCGTACATGCTTGATTGACTGCAGTGAAACACGAAGCTGAGTCACCCGATGAGGCAGCCTTGGTGGCCGCCGCCTTTGTCTACAAATACGTCTTGCTGAACCGCAAATCCGGCCGGTCGGTGACACCAGACGCTTTGCCTCGAAGCAATATAATCCCAAAAAAAACACGAATCGCTCCGCTCGTGCCTCCGCTCACGCCGATTCCGCTCTCTTTGGGTCTTCTTGTTCAATAGAATTCTGCTGAAGCTTGGCGACGACGAGTACAACATGGAAATTTTACAGACTCTCGAGTTTGATAGCACTCGCAAGCGCATGACTGTGATTGCGCGTCTCCCCAACGGTCGCATCCGTGCTTTTATCAAGGGCGCGGACTCGGCCATCATGGACATCATGAAGCAGGGCGATTCGGACCTCCGCGAGAAGACAGAGGCCCACCTGCATGATTTCGCGCGAAATGGCTTGCGTACCCTGTGCTTCGCTTACCGCGACCTGGACCCTGATTTTTACGACTCTTGGCTCAAAACATGGGACGCCGCGAATAACGACCTGCAGAACCGCAGGCACGGCTGCGTGAAACTTACCTAGCCATCGAGAAAGAGGTTACTCTTTTAGGCGCGACCGGTATCGAAGACAAACTTCAAGAAGGCGTTCCGGAAGCCATCGCCACCCTTCGCGAGGCCGGTATCAAGGTTTGGGTCCTCACAGGCGACAAGCAAGAGACCGCCATAGAAATTGCTCACACATGTCGGCTCATGGATGAGAGCCAAAGCACGGTACGATGCCTGAGCCTGCCTTTGCCCTGCTGGTACATGGTTGTTTCCCGCAGGGCCCGAGCTAACATGGCCCGGCGGTCGCTTGTTAGATCTTACTCAACTCTCAACTGGCCTCCAAACACCACTCCAAACCTCGAAGCAAGCGCAATGAAGCCTTGCATGAGCAGGCTGCCAAAGAGGTGGGCACCCGTTTATGCTGTTTTGTTGCCCTGTTCGCAAGGCCTGTGCGTGCCAAGCAGGCCCAGGCGACAGCTTTAGAGTCAGCCTCTTTCCTACATCAAAATATCCTGTTCCAATTCCTGCCGCTCAAATGCGCTTGTTGCTGCTCAATCTCCTGCAGACTGGAGACATTATTCGGGGCAAACTGTCGGAAATCGAACAGCCCAGCGCACGAAACAAACCCCTCGCACTCGTGGTGGATGGTGCGACTCTATCCTACGCCATGCTTGATCAGAACTCGGATGCTTTCCTCGACCTCAGCCTGCGCTGCGCGGTAGGTTTTTTTTTTTTTTTTTTTTTTTTTTTTGGTTGTTGTTGTTGTGCAGCAATGTTCAACGTTGTAAGGTTTGTCTTCTCACCCGCGCCAACTGTCGCGCGTCTCTTCCCAGGTGGTTGTGGCCTGCCGAACCGCTCCTTTGCAAAAAGCGCAGGTGGTCAAGCTGGTGAAGGAGAGCATTGATGTCATGACGCTAGCCATTGGTGATGGTGCCAACGATGTCAGCATGATTCAGATGGCCCATGTGGGCGTGGGCATCTCCGGCCAAGAGGGCATGCAGGCCGTTATGGCCAGTGATTTTGCCTTTGGACAATTCCGCTTCTTGACTCGTCTTTTGCTGGTCCACGGCCATTGGTCCTACGACCGCATTGCCAGCCTTATTTTGTACTTTTTCTACAAAAACTCAAGCTTGGTGTTTGTCATCTTCTTTTACCAATTCTTTGATGGCTTCACGGGCCAGCCTCACATCGAACAGGTCTGTGTTTTCAGGCCGTATGTCGGGGCGGCTCTGAAGGGATATCAGCGCTCATGCCGGCTGTGTTGTTTCTAATCTTTCGTCCTTGTTGGTTGGCATTTAGATGTACCTTCAAACCTACAATCTTTTGTGGACTTCGCTGCCACCCATCGTCACGGGCATCTTTGACCAGGACGTGACCGAGGATGCTCTTGAGGCTTTCCCCATGCTTTATGAGCAGGTGTGTACCAAGCAAGCAACTCAGTCTTGTGGTCATGGTGGGGGCGGAAGGCTTGGTTGCTCGCGGCTCATTGCGCTGTCAGCCCACGCCACTCATCTCTGTCATGTGTCCAACGTGTTGCTGTTTCGCTCACTCGTGCCCGATAGGGTCGAGAGGATTTGACTTACAAGGGCCGCTTCTGGCCCATTATTCTTGACTCCTTCTACCAGGCCGTGGTCATCTTTTTCGTTCCTTACGCCGTCTACGTGTATGTCCCATGGCAAGGCTCCGCGGCACCCACCCTGCTTTTCTTCTCCTCACGCGCATTCATTTTGGATCTAATCGGCACTTGACGCACGCACGCAGAGACAAGCTCGAAGACAATGGCATGTTGGTGATGGGTACCATCTCCATCTTTTGCATCATCATTGCCAATCTGATTCAAAACATGATTCTCACTCGTCACTACATCTGGATCCATGCGCTCTGCCTGGCCTGGAGGTACCTTATATCTCTCATGGCTTGCTTTATTCTCGACCTTTTTTTTGCAAAGCCTGTTGCTCATGTGCTTGCCCTTGGCTGCGTAGCTTTTTTGGTGTCTTTGCTTTTGCGTACATTTACAACTCGCTGCTGCTCGAGACACCCTTGATTCCGGACCCGTACTATGTGATGCAAAATGCTTCGAGTGACGCAACATTTTGGCTTTTGCTCATCTTCTGCCCTGCATTGGCAGTTCTGCCCCGCTTCCTTGCCATGTACGTGCCTGCACTTGCAGCTTTCGTGACAACTGGCGCGCGTTTCCGAATCTTCATGTGGTTTGTTCTAATCTTTTGTTTGTATTTTTTATTCCAAATGGGACTTTTTTTTTCTTCTCTAGGTTCTACCGCCGCTGGTGGCACCCGACGACTTCGCAACTCATGCGCGAAGACTGGATCAAGGATCAGCGTCGACGCAAGCCTCTGCCGCTTTGGCTCAACCCTTGCTTGCCTTGGTCAGTCTTGTCTTGTCGAAGATAATAATGTTTACTTATTTGCCCTTCGGGTTGTTGTTTTTTATTTGTTTGTTTGTCTTCCTCTTCTTCATCATCATCATCGTCATCTTTTTTTTGCTTCAACTCGACTCATCTCCAAAATGAACTGTTCCATTATCCATCCTCCTTTGCCTGGACAGTCAAAAGGTGACTGACTGCATGCTCGACGAGGATGGTGAACAGACCAACTCGATTCAGGTACACACCGCTTGCTAACCTCGTATCAGACGCTTCAATGTTGCCTCACTTTGATTCATCGCCTCGCTTGTTGCGGAATGATCTTGCCACACGGTCGGCCCTTGACACCTAGAAGCCCATTCTTCGAAACGGGGATCACAACACCATGCGCCTCGGCTGAACGCGAGCTTAGACACCTCTCACGGTGTACATTCTGCCCGAAAGTGTTGGAGTGCTATGTTTATGCTTTGTTTTCGCCCTGCTTGTTTGCAACGCCTCATGATTTTGTGTTTCTTGTTAAGGGCTCGGATTTGGTTTGTGTTTTCTGCTTGTGGGTATCGGCATTTTTATCACCCTTCTTTGTACGCCTTTTGGTTGTTTGTGGCCTTCCTCTTGGGTTTGTCTGCTTATTTGTTTGCGAGTGCTTCTACTTCACTCAGCATTCGTCCTCTTGTCTTCGATTGACCGTCTCCTCGTATTCCACTTTAAAGGCGCTCTCGGCGCTTCTCCTCAATTTGGTAGCACACGACCTCATCATCCTGTATACGCCAGAAGGAACAAGCACAAAGGTGTGAGATCAGCGCCAATGCCGGCGTGTCTCGAAACTCTCCCCCTTCTGCTGCCTACCAGGCATGAGTAAAAATTGACAGCTGAACTCTTTGGATTTGGGACTTACCGCTGCAAAGTCGCTGTAATCTTCGAAAGATAACCCGCACTCGGTGTTGAGACCAACCTCTTCCACACTGTCCTTGTGATGCATGAGCTGCGACAGCTCCCCTGGGGATGTCAATTGGCAATGCAAAGACGTCAAGAAAGATGCAAACTCGAGCACGCTAGGTTTCGGCTCAAGCAAGCACTCAAAGCAGGGCTCACCCTCATGAATTTCTTCGCCCTTTCGCAAAACTTTGAAACGATGTGCTTTGACAAGAGATCCCGTCAGAACACGGCAGCCAGCTAGATAGAACCAGGGAAGGCAGTGAGAAAAGAAGGGGGGGTTGCACGGGCTCTCAACTGAATCAAGCAGGGAGGGGCATCAGAAACAAGCAGATCCACTTTGCGCTCAAACACACCAACAGTTGACTTGCGCTTCCCGGTGAGGTTGAACACTTGCAAAACCTTGGCCTTGCCGACTTGTTTCTCGACCATGAGCGGGGGCAACATGCTAAGCAAGTCTTGCTCGAGCTCCTCGAGCAGATGGTAAACAACCCTGCGAAGCGTAATCGGACGGCAAAATGCGCAGAACAGGTCAGACGTGATGGCACAGCGCCAATTGAAACTGGAGCAGAGACTTACTTGTAAAGCTTCACCTGGACACCCTGTTGCTCTGCCTGTGCCGCTTCCTTCTTGCCTAAGCCTACTCCAAAGCCGAGGATAGTGGCTATATGACAGCGCAAGGCAACGTGAGATCACATAGCCCCGCTTGATGTATGCGCGCTCACACCGCACCGTTGGTGGTGGCTGCCAATTCAATATCACTGTCTGTGATGTTTCCGACGCCTTGTCGAATGACTTGGCAAGCCACTGCAGTTTGCCCGCCACAAGACGCCACAGCAACAGCAACAAGTTGAATGTGAGAGTGCGTTCAGGAAGGAAACCTGGGCAATTTTTCCTGTAGCATCACTTGAAGCTAGGTTGCATACCTTCAGAGCTGGGGATGGCAGCAATCGCATCGACCAGGGCCTCGGCGCTGCCTTGTACATCACTGCGCACCACCAACAGCCGTGTTGGCTTGTCAGAGCTAGCAACGTCCAAGAGCTGTAGGGGCACACAGAATGACAGCCAAGGAACAAACGCATGTGAGTCATGCACCACAGACGCTTTGGAGAAGACTGTCTATTGCCACACCTCTTGCTGGTTGAGCTCGCGGGGCCGCGCGCTGCGTGGAAGACGACGCAGACGTCGCCGCTCCTGCAATGTCTCCTGGCGATGCTCCTCGGCCATTTGTCGTCGACGCTGCGAAAATTGTGTCAAGCTTCGAGTGAGGTGCATTGAGGTGCAAGACTGCTGATGATATCATGAACCGTAAAAACTAACATCAACGATTTCGGCAGCGCTGAGATTCTTTTCCTCCTCGACCAGGCGCGCCTGCTCTTCAACAAAGGCCCTAGCCTCTTTCTATTGTATCACCGAGAGGCCACACATGTCATGCACCGAGCGCACGGAGAGATCGGCACATAGGCAGGACTCTCGAAGCATGCATAGAGTTGCACAACGCTTCGCACCTCCGATGCCACCTTGAAGACGGGAACTCCGACCTCAGGCAACGAGCGCCAGCCCATGACCTCGGCGGCCATGGATGGCTGCAGCGATTTGAGGCCTGCCCAAGTCAAGATTCACAAAGTGCAAAGATGAGGGGTAGTCAATCCGCAAGAGTTCGCCCAAACAAACAATCGTATGTTTATAAAAGCCACAAGATGGCGCAATAAAATTCCAAGCTCACGCTGTTTGCCATCGTCAGTCATGCTTTTGATGCGCGCAAAGGAGCAGCCAGCGGCAATGTATTCGCCAGGCTTGAGCGACCCGTCATGCAGCAAGACGGTTGCCACTTGCCTGCCGCCATACCAAAAGCATTCGGTCATGATGATCCTCGTGCATCTTTATCGTCCGTACGTCTTGCCTGCCCAAAACAGGTGAAACGTACCCCTTGAATTTGTCTGAAGAGGCCTCAATGACAACGCCTTCGGCAGGATTGCTCGCCTTGCCCTGTGTGCCTCGCACCTCTGCTTGCAGAAGAACCGCCTCAAGAAGCGCATCGAGATTTTTCCGCTACAAGATCACCAAAGACGGCAACACCGAAAGTATGAGGCTGGGAGCAGCAGCGCCGATGAACCAACTATTTGCTGCTTGGTGAGAGATGACATGAGACCAGACCAATAAAGGCTCGATGTGGCCTCGATCAGGTGACAGGTCGGCCCTTTGCCGGCAGCCTATACCTGGAGAGCAGATACAGGGACGGCTTGAACGGCACCGCCGAAATCTTCGAGATCCACGCCATGTCGGGCCAGCTCTTGCTTAACGCGATGCACGTCGGCCTGTTCCTTGTCACACTTGTTGATTGCCACAACCAGAGGCACTGTCAGGGCCGAAGCAGAAGTAAGAATATGGGGCTCATAAGAATCTGGAACCATGGTAGCCAGAAAGGGATGCTTGGAGGTTGGCTAGAGTAAATGCAGCTCTTACCGCCTGCCTCAGTTGCATACTTGATACTCTCAATCGTCTGGGGCATAACGCCATCATCCGCTGCGACAACGAGAATGACCACATCGGTGGCTGACGCGCCCCGCTGCCGCATCGCCGAAAAAGCAGCGTGGCCCGGCGTGTCCAGAAATGTGATGCGTTGGGCATCACCCAGCTCGACTGGAGTCAAGAGTTGAGCGATTGACGCAAAGTCGCAGTGAGAAAGTTGCTTAGCAAGGGTGTCAAGGCACCAGGTGTTGGTTGGGCTGGACGTACCCATGAATGCACCAATATGTTGTGTGATGCCACCGGCTTCACCGGCTGCAATCGAGGAGGAGCGATACGCATCGAGCAACGTTGTCTTGCCGTGATCTATGACAAGAGAGTGAGATCCCGGCGTTGCGTTAGGTACAACCACAACCCAAAGCCAGCAAGCACCCTGGAGCCGGAGCGGGCGCTACAGGGCCGAGAGAGCGCCAGGATGTTGTTTTGCCATCCGGGCTCGTGAGCTTACCGACGTGGCCCATGATGGTCACGATGGGAGGGCGCTCGAGGGTGCTGGGCATTGAGGAAGGCTTGCCCTTGGCTGGGACAGCATTGTTCTTTTTGGCAGTGGCAGACTTTTTTGGCTTTTCCTTCTTGGGTGGCGGAGGCGCAATTTGTGCAAACTCCATGTCGTATTCCTCTGCCAGGAGCTCCATGAGATCCGAAGTCAGCGCTAACATAGTCCAGCGGGCGCAATAAGCAAAAAGATGAGCCGAGAGCGGAGCCAGGTGCAAAGAGACACATTTGACGTGACGATTGCAATTGAGGTCACAAGCACAAGCGAATCGGCCAGAATCAAAAGGGAGCAAGCTTGATGAGGGCACCTGTGTCACCGTTGACTTTGCCATCCTGAACTTGAGCCACGATTTCGGCCAGCACGCGCACGGGGACGCCCATTTGTTTTGAAAACTCTGCCAGTTTCATGCCTTGGTACCCTGAGACGGTCTGGGCTTGCTAGCACCACCATGAACCAAAGGATGGACGGGAAGCATGAGTGCACTGCGCTGGTAATGGACGGGAATGCTGGGCTCAAGTGCAAGCAGTTTGTCCTCACAGAATGCATCAGGTTTGAGCGAGCAAGGTAGCGGCGGGCCAAAAAAGTGTTTGGTGCCACCCGATGCTGTTGAGGAAGTGAGGGCTTCCAGCCAGTCGAGCCATGACGAAGACGTGCTGACGAAGAAGAACTTCGCATAAGCAGCGCACCCAGACGGGTCGAAGCGCTGCGTAAGAGCAACATGGTCAAAGAGGACAAGATGGCCTTTGCGCGCACCAGCACTCCAAAGAACGGCAGCAGAATATAACAAGTGCAGCCACGCCAGCTCGTTACCCCATGGCCACCCCCTTCCAACCGCCTCTACGCGTGCCGAGCAAAGCAAAGCCTTCCCGACTGATTGATTAACAGAAGAGCTATGCACTGTGTCTCCACCAGTGCCAAATGAATCCTGGCACCAACACTGCAGCCACCACCACAACCACTGCCGTGTATCACTGCCGTGTATCCCTCCGACCGCGGCGGTCCGTCCTCGTCGTTCGCAGCGCCGCTCAGAGAGAGAGAGAGAGCGAGAGAGAGAGAGAGAAAACTGTCCGGCAACGTGCGCGCAACACGAAGGTGTGAATGTACCTTAATATGTTGTTCAGCGGGATAGTTCGGTCACCTCCTTGAAAGTAACATATGTATTCCCTTTTTGTAACAACATATTGCTCTTGGGATTGAGGCAGGTGCGATTAATTGGCAGTCAGTATTTCGGGTCGTGCTCGGCGATTCTGTCTGCTGTGCGTTTCAAATCAAGCACAGCAGAAGCGCTAAATTTTTGCGGATCAAACGAGGGTGCTCTTGTGTTCATACGCTTCCTGTGGATGCCATAGCAGCCCAAAGACCAGAAAATCATTTATTTTGAAATAAATCCCATTTCTTTTCCATACGAAACTTATTTGGCTTTGACTCTCTAGGGCTACATGGCTCTGATTGGTATGTCAAATGGCAGCGCCATAAGACGAGTCAGCGAAGCAATGAGACAACTTGGTGGGTAGAAGCAGATGGACAAGACAAGTTCCGATTGATCAATGGTCATTCAAGGTTTATTTCGATTGACAAACGCCCGGGACGATTTTTTTTTCTAAACACTTAGTAAGCAAGCTGTTTCCTCATTGGGTGGACTTAGACGATTTTCTCTTCTTGGGATGTGGTTGCCACTGCGCCACTCGTGCAAGGTGTGTTCGACGTGGAGACCGAGTTTGGACGATTGATGGGGAAGAGCTACGGTCCACAGCGGCGCTTGAGGCTTCTCGTGTTCGCGCCTCGGTACTTGCATGTGATGTCTCTGATGCCGCCGTAGACGGCGTGGTGCACGGTGGACTTGTCACCTGAATGCAATGATGAAGACGAGGAGTACAGATGAGAGTGAAGCCAACGAA